ACGAAACTCCCTGGGAGATCTTTCTCAATCGTTGCACCAAAAAAAAAACTAACTTTAAAGTGACAGTTGATGTTGACGTAATCATATTGATCAAGTTTGAGTGCTCGACTTTACTTAAATTAAGAAAATGCTTTCTTTGTGTTGTCTAATAATTATGGCGTCTTTGGCATTACACTGTCCTTTGAAACACTCCATAGGTCGGATATATGGCCTAAAGTGAACCCATGTTGTTCATGCCTTGTCGAGGAAGAAATAAAGCTCTCCAATTTTAAAGTTTGATGGATCCGTTTAATTTGTTAATTCGAGTTTTTAATTGAAGTTAAGATGTGATTTTATGTAATAATTTTTTACTATAGTAAAAAAGTTAGATGTAATTGTTTCTGAGTGCTTTTCACTGTAACAAAACTCGAATCGGTGAAATAAACAGGATCATACTTTTTTTGGCTTTCTCATAAATCTGAATTCAAGCAACGTGATTGACTAGAGATTGCCATAAGAAATTAGTAACATGAGTTCCTTGTAATTGATTAATTATACATATACAATCTGGTCGATTAACTAGGTGACATTATGTTAGTGCATAATCATAATTTACTATGTAAATAGGTAAGTATACAAACTTAAGCTTATTAAAACTTCGCATTTATGAAACAAATTCAGCAACATTTCAATATATTTTTGATAATCAAACTGCCAACGAACAAAAATAGAAATCCTAACAGGATACATATCTCTCTCAACCAAAACCGGCAAGCACTTTATTTCAAGCTTTATGGATGCGTTTTTAATTCCATAAATATTTAGACCAATACTTTTCTGAAAAGAATAAATTTTGGTGGTTAAACAGCCGGGTTAGCTTTATACATACACGCGTGGTTTTTACAAAAAAGGTGGAGGAAGAATAAAATTATATTATAAACAAAGAAAATAAAGGACAAGACTATATCAAAAAAATAAACTATTTAAGTATTAAAGACCCAAAATAGATGGTAGTTGTAAAGGCTCCGACTTCTAAGAGTTTGGTTGGTTGGAGAATAAGCAAAACATAAAATAAAAAGAGAGAGATAATATACATGTAACGTTAGAAATTAAACTCTAATCCTTTATAATAGTAGAGAGCATAAACGAAGAAAAAGGACATTGAAAGATGACATACATATAAAATTTACAATGATTTTATATTTCATTTGAGTATTATCTTATGTACAAAATTATCTCAAAATCTCTTATAATTATTTGAGTGTGAAACTTTGGCCCCGTTCATTTTACCGATTCGAATTTAAAATTTGAGTTTTATTACAGTAAAAAACTATCAGAAACAGTCACATTTAACATTTTTGTTACAATAAAAAGTTCTCACATAAAATCACATCTCAACTCGAATTAAAAACTCAAATCAGCGAACTAAACAGACTCTTTAATTATTGTCATGATAATTATTACCTATGCATAGATATTCGCATGTTTATGTTTGTATGTTTTACTTTTTGCGATAGAATTAGATTTTTTGTGCTTGACACAACTCAACAACATGTAAACCGTTCATTAATGACAAAGGACGTCGGGAAAAGAAAGCATTCATAATGCTAAGATTCATTTTTCCTGTAAAACTAAATCCATACGATCAGTTGAGAACTATTAAGGTAGAATGTATATTATTTTATGTCTCGTTTATTTTATTAATTTAAATTTTTAATTTTAGTTTTGTTACAGTTAAAATTTTTTATAAAAAGTCACATTTAATTTTTTTATTACAATAAAAAATTTTGACATAAAATCACATTTCAATTTAAATTCGCGAACTGATCGAGGTCTTAATTGCAAATTGAGATTTTTTTAAATGATTATTTTGGGATTACAACTTAATTCTTTCCTCAGACTGTTCCCAATCTGAATGACGGGACCATAATGAAGCCAACCAGCACGCTGATTGTGATTATTATTTATAGTTTATTTCACCACCTCGGCGACAACGTACGTTAATATTTTCTTTTTTTATATATTTTTTTATATTTAACAAAAGACAATACCAGAGTATATATCAAATGCAAATTCACTATAGTTTTATTGTGGGGGGCCAAACCAATTAAAATGGTCATCAAGAAATTAATATCATATGTTACACTGGACTATGACTAGGATAAGGATAATTTATCCCAGTTCCATATTTGGTGCAATGGCCCGTTTAGTTCGCTGATTTAAATTTTTAATTCGAGTTCAGATGTGACTTTATGTGAGAGTTTTTTACTGTAGTAAAAAAGTTAGATGTGACTGTTTCTGAGAGCATTTTACTGCAGCAAAACTCGAACTCTAAACTTGAATCGGTGAAATGAACGGAACCTACTGATAACTCGTAACTGATCCAAAAATTCCAAAATAATCCAAATCAGGTGGGATAAATAATCCCAAAAAAAGGGCGGGATAATCAATCCAAAGCCTTGGATTATAATATTTCTCTAACTCACCCTAACACACACAGCCAGCAGCCCCACCTCCAGTGCCAAAGTCATCGTTGCGCCCCACGTTCCGTTGTCAAAGTCGTTGTCGCACGACCAAGCCCAACATCGCCGGCCCCCCTTGCCAGATCTCCGTCACCCACGGCAACCTAAGCCTAAATCTCCACCGCCCATGACCTGTAGGTCCCCTAATCTCCATCGTTGGTGACCCCATTTTCAGCGACGAAGCCAAAAATTTTGCTAAGGGGGCTAATAATTATGCCAAATATTTAACCAAAATAAATAGTTATTGGACAATACAATTGTCCCCAATATCTTTCCATACCTAAAAAGATATACTTTATCGTAGGCGCCATTGAATATATATTTTTTAATATGTACAAATAAATTTTCATTCATCCATTCATTTGTCTTTATCATTGTCTTTGGTACGTCCTAACAATATTAGTGCTTAAACACTTTATCTTTTTTTAATTTAATCCTGTAATGCACCAAACACATGCTAGGATTCAACAAAATACTAAGTCAAATCAAATCCTAACTCCATAATCCAATCCAGCCAAGCGCCCAAACCAAGTAAAATGGTCACCAAGCAATTAATATCGTAAAGTTAATTGCTTAAAGGAGCTATTTCTTTCTTTCTTTCTGTCATTTTAACGGCATTGTTTTAAAACTTGACCCGGATCGAACGTGGTCATAATTGCATTGAGAGGATCACTGCCACAAACATTTGCAAAAGAGAGGATCATTTTCCAACTCTAAAAAGTGTGCATTATGTCTCTGAGGGCATGCTTATGTTAAAATAAATAAATAAATAAATGGTGTATACATATAGATATATATGTGTTTATTAGAAATAGACACTGTCCGTTAATTTTATCGATTCGAGTTTAAAATTTAAGTTTTATTACAGTAAAAAGCTATCAGAAACAGTCACATCTAACTTTTTTACTATAATAAAAAGCTCTCACATAAAATCACATCTCAATTCAAATTAAAAATTCAAATTAACGAATTAAATGACCCCTAAACTAGCATTTTTTGTTTAGAGAGAGGCATAATTTTTTATGCAATAAAAGGCATAAGTTGGTGCTTTTGCTTTCATGATCGTTCACATGTTGGAGAATTAAATCATTAATAGGAATTGGCCAATTGGGGGCCCCAAAACGCCCAAAGTGTCTAAAATTTATAATCACATGGGATGGTTGTCGTTAGGGTGAACTGCCAGCTAGCCAGTTAGTAATATGTTTTAGCTTTTGGAAGCACATAACGCAGTTTTAGGGGTTGTTTGGTTAGAAGATTTGTACCCTGATTTGAATCATAGTTCATGATTTGTTATAGTATTTTCTCTCACAAAAATTACACGTAAATTAAAAATAATTCTAATCCACGAACCAAACATCTCTTTAGTCTTTTAGCATTATTATTGCTCTTGATTTTGATTTATTTCTGCCATAACGTTGATTTAATAAATTTCAAATTTCAAAACTCATTACTCATTATTTATTGTTAAGAATTATTTCTTGTTTTGATGCTTAATAACAATGACTTAATGTGAATATTTATTTACATATAGGAGCATGTGCAGACTCCCCATATTTTCTCTAAGAAGAGCTCCATATTCATTGTACATAAATTGCATTAGCTGTACTTTGATGTAAAAAAGAAACACCTCATTTATTAAAATAATACAAATGGCAACACCACAATTAAATAAAATACCTATAATTCCTTAAAAAAAAATAATAATAAAGAGATCCATTTATGATTAACTTCTGCCCCGCCACTTCTTCTTGCCTTTTCTTTTTTGTAGTTACCACTTATTGTCATAACTATAGGTGCGTTTGGAATTTATTCTAAAATAATTTTTATTTTTTGTTTGAAAATAAAAATGAAAACGTTTTTAATTTAGACAGAAATTATTTTTAAAAATACGTTTAATAATTTTATGAAGAGATTGTTTTCAATATAAAAAAATTCATTAATGTCTCTCTCTCTCTCTCTCTACTCGAGAGAGGAGAAAACAGAAACAAAAAATGAAAGTCATTTTTCATTTTTCTTCCATTTTACACTAAATTAAAAAATCGTTTTCATTTATGTTTTTTGTCTTTAATTGTGCCAAATACCGTTTCTCTCCCGTTTTTATTTTTTCTTTCCTAAAAAACGTGAAAAATAAAAATAAAAACAACTCCAAACACAGCCTATAATTCGACCTACTGTTAAAAATGGAGTACAAATATGTTGTCTTTATCTGTTCCTACAATAATTATTTATTATACCATTTAATTTATAATATGACCACATAAATAAGAATAAAATATTAAAAATACTTGAACAATTCATAAAATGTCAAAATTTAATTTGAAAGACAACTACCAAATCAGAAATATTGAAGTATTACACAACCAATCTTGATTCATGTCAAAAGAGTTTAAATCTGCTATTCTCTCATTTGTCCGTATTAGTGGTTGTTCCTCCACTAATTATCTGCCATGTAATTAAACATGCCTTCATATGAGTTGCAACAAACCCACGAGAAGATTTGCATGCATGGACTGTCGTTTGTTAATTTATGATGTCGTTTAGTTGTAAAGAGTGGATTCAGACGCTCCTTCATTCTAAAGAAAGAAAGCAACAAGCCGCCAAACCAACGTGGCTGACGACGGCAGCATAGCCAAAATGACGTTAGTCCCTACATCTTTCCTCGACCCCAAAAAAAGAAAGAAATCACAAAAAAAAAAAAGGGAAAAAAAAACTCCATAACAATAATCATTACAAACATAATTCCCTAAAAACATCCAAACACTTTTGTTTTTTTTTCAAGTTAATTCATGAACAATGCTATTAGACACCGATAGTGTTAAGCACCCACTCATTAATAGAATGTAGGTCCTGCAATTACTCAAAAACGGAGTCTACTTTCTATTAGTGGTAGTGCGTGGCCGTAAGCATTTTTCCTAATCCTTTTCGGGTTCGGAGTGATGATCATCGGCCATGGATTGCCTGGTGTAAATACGGTGTCGCCTTTCTCTGGAGTAGATGACCCAGAAGATGAGGGACATCATAACAGCCGTGGAAACCATGAGCAAGCCAACGTAGATCCATTTGCTGTAACGTTGAAGAGCAGGGCAATGTTGGGAGTAGATTTGGCTGAAAGTTTCTCTAGCGAAAGTGCAGTCTTGTAGCTCCACAAGGAAAGGCCCGTAGCTGTGCAACGCAATGCTCATGCTCACTCCACTGCTCATTTGGCTGTAGAAATTTGGAGTCAAACGACCTGTCGTCGTGCAAACCCCATTGGCTGCCACCTGGCACACATACTTCTCCCACACCTATATATATATATATATATATATAGAAAAGGAAAATGATATGTTTATGTAATCATTTCCGTGATAGATATCATGAAAATATAGTTTCATAATACATCCTAGAACTAAAATATAATTTGTTAGGAGTCAAAAAAAGAGGGGGGGACGGAGGGACAAAGCAGTAATTGTTATTTTATTCGAATTTTAACACATATATTAATGATAAAATTTTTCCAGATGTTTATTATTATTGCTCTGAATGAAATATAGCGATTAATTTTAAGCTTTTTTTTTTTCCATGCTTAATCAAGGTCTATGGTGTCATGCCATTCTTGAGTTTAAAAAAAAAAAAAAAGTATAACTAAGTTAATGTTCTTTAGGATGGGAGCACTGTCGTCGTCCCCATTGGCTGCCACCTGGCACACATACTTCTCCCACACCTATATATATATATATATATATATAGAAAAGGAAAATGATATGTTTATGTAATCATTTCCGTGATAGATATCATGAAAATATAGTTTCATAATACATCCTAGAACTAAAATATAATTTGTTAGGAGTCAAAAAAAGAGGGGGGGACGGAGGGACAAAGCAGTAATTGTTATTTTATTCGAATTTTAACACATATATTAATGATAAAATTTTTCCAGATGTTTATTATTATTGCTCTGAATGAAATATAGCGATTAATTTTAAGCTTTTTTTTTTTCCATGCTTAATCAAGGTCTATGGTGTCATGCCATTCTTGAGTTTAAAAAAAAAAAAAAAGTATAACTAAGTTAATGTTCTTTAGGATGGGAGCAAAATTGGTGCAACTAATCTAAATTTATCCAAGTTTTTCGTGAGGCAGGTTACTTCTCACACAAAATTACACAACCAAGGTAATGAGATCTTCATTCTCCTAGGATCTAGCAAAAGACAAAAAGGCCTCCAAGTCCTTTGCAATCTAGCTCTTGTTTGTATAAGCAAGTGGGCATATTCTTTTTAACTTTTTAGCAATGAAAAGCTAACCTCTTGTCATTATACTATAATATAATGTTTCATCCAAGAGTTTCCATGTAATTTAGGCAAGGCTGAGCTCTACTAAATGAGTGTGTACCTGTGTAGCATTGTTCATGTCCACTTCACCAGCAGTGCATACTCGATCAGTCAAGTCATGGTGGTAAGGGTTGCAAAGGATTGGCACCAGTGGACCAGACTGGTTGAAGTAAAACGGAACGAATTGTGGGGCGAAATTGATGTTAGACACGTTGGTGATAACCTCGTTGATCAATTCGACTATCTGCAATGTAACTTCCTTGCTTCGCAGTACTGTTTCTTGCGCCATTGTCTTGTCCACGCAGGGCATGATTTCATCTAAGGCTGTGTGAGCAGTGGGGTTCAGCACCCATTGGTCCATTGCGACACAAGTATCCCCAGCCACACTAGTGTATTAAAGAAGACACTTTAATCAGTCACATAGAAATGGTAAGCTCTCAGTGAAACTAACTGTCAGTTTACCAATCCATCCTAAAAACTTAAGCTGTTAAGAGGTGGGCCAACAATCGTTGTATACTTTAACACTCCCCCTCACGTGTGGGCTAGACAATGGGCAATCGTGTCGGTAAATTAATTAGAAAGCCCAACACGTGAATATTTAAACCCGAGATATATTAAATACCCAACACATGATGACAATTTAAATGGGGATAAAGAGTGTAATTATGGGGGGTTTGAACTCAAGACCTCCCGCTCTGATACCATGTTAGTTTAACAATTCATCCCAAAAGCTTAAGCTGTTAGGAAGTTGGCCAATAATAGTTTTATACTTTAACACTAACCAAACCTTTAACCTAACTTATGCTATTATAAAGGATCAATCTGATTTTTAGTCCCCAAACTTAGGAGGGAGTCCCAGTTTCGTCCTTGACATACAAAATGTATCATAACCAGCTCTCTATCTCTAAAATTGTCTCGTTGAAGTCTTTCGGTTAAGAATCCGTTAAAAGTAGATGGAAAATGGCATGTGAGAATCTTGACCAAAATGGGAGAAACGAGATTATTCCTATTAAAAGACTTACGTATGAAGAATAAGGAATGTGCCGCACAGAATGAATGTTCCAGCAACAATAATCCATCCGGTGATCACAAGGCTGAGACAATTGTGTGAATCAAATACCATGAGAAAAGAATAGTAGAAACAGTTTAATAATAATAATAATAACAATAACAATTATAATTATAATAAGCTTACTCACATGTAGACCAGAATTTGCATCCCAAAAAGTGAAAATACTGGCGAAAAAAATCAGAATTCAGAAATGAGAAAAACACTAAAACGAATGTAAAAATGAAGCATTGTAAGGATATCAAAGGTGCTTACAAAGTCCCAGAAATATCAATACAAGCATGATGGCAGCTACTATGATGAGCGCCAACCTCCTGTATGAGCAAAACAAACATATCAATATTATAATCAAAATGTTGTTAATTAAGAAGAAACACAAATGATGGAAGGCTTCATAGTCCTCCACTCACACAGAATCTAAGAGATCCCTCATGTCATCTGCATTCTCTGCTGTTTTGTCAGCGACGTTGCTTGCAGAAGAATTTATCTTTATTTGGATCTGGTCAATATCAGTCTGAACATTGGCAGGTAGAAAGATTTGGTCCACTCCAAGCTGCTTAGCTTGAGAAAGATAATCCGACACATTCCTTAGTTCCCCAACTGTAAAATCCGCCTGACTTACGACGTAGTCCAGCGTATTCGTTGTGCTATGATGAAACTTATCCTGACCCGCATACAACACAATGCAGCCAGCGCTGCGACCACAAAGTTACACATTGAGAATCATCCAAACATGTGAAGAAATTCAAAAAGTAATGAGGGAGAGAGATGTACACTGCGGCAATGGAGAAGAGAATGAGGCAAATAAGAGAAAGAGTGTACGCTGTTCCCGAATAGCCATAAGACCGTCTTCCACAACAGAAGTGGCAAAGACAGATGAGAGATAAGCACAATCCAAAGGCCACAAACCAGATGGCAGCAATGGCAAACAATGGGACTGCAGTGAAACCAACAGACTGCATGCAAAAAAAGATTTCGTGATGAGGAATAACACTCAACAAATGGAAATAAACAGTCTAAATTGAACACTAATTGAAAAGTTAAAAAGTAAGACCCGTACAGGATGTTAGTGAGACGAATGCATAATCCGAGTTTTTTTTTTTTTTTTTTTTTTAAATATTTAAGGGATCACTCGAACTACCTTGCTCGAATGCAGCACTAATGGTGAGTTACAATATTGCATACTATCAATAACTATGATGAATGATTATGATTCAGCTAATGTACTAAGTTTGAGGGCTTTTCTATCATTTAGCTATTTTTGACGAAGATACTTGGAATCAATTGTCTAGATGATTTATGTTGGAAACATTTCAAGAAAAATCACAACTTGGTAAGCAGCTTTTGAGATTTCAATCGTGTATGCTTATGAGTTCCCAAGTCAAGACTTCAAGAATGCCCCTCTCTCCTTAATTTCACATGTACTTTTTGTTACATTACTAATAAGAGAAATACTAAGATCACTCTCTATCAGTGGAATTCACGTGTCAAACAATAAATACAAATAACATATAGTGACAAAGAGAGTGATACTAGCATTTCTACACCTCCTCAACTACCGGCATTGCATTGATAGACCAAAATTAATTTGACTATCAAGTATAAACTTAGTCCTGGTTCAGCTGAAATTAACCCCCAAAAAAAAAAAAAAAAAAAAAAACCCTATAAAAGACACGTTGAGCGTTTTATATGGCAAATATCAAACGAATGTGTAATGTACTTACTGCCCAGTAATGGCGTTCACTGATATTCCATCCTCCAATGTACCGTTTGAAGCCATTAAGAGGGTCTTTCCTCTGTGTCCTCTCCGCAGCTAAAACAAGTGAATAGTATTGAACAGGTTGGAAATCGGGTCCCTCCACAAAAGACATTTTGGTCCCCCACAAATAATCATGTTGCTTCTCCGATAATTCCCACTCTAAGAAAAACCAGAAAGAAAATAAACAAGAAAATAATCAAAGGGGAAAGCACTTGACAGAATTTTCCATGAAATGTGAAACAGTAGTACTACCCAAATGGAGAAGTTCTAAAACTACAATTTTGAACATTTGTTGGTTTTACTGGGAGCAAAAAAAGAACATTGCCCAAAGTGAAGAAAACGTGAGGTTTGAGTACTTATAAGAGCAGTGTACCTGAAGATGGTGTGAGTGATGTTTGTGGGGCGTGTGGAAAGTGGGAGTTTCCATCCGAGAAGGAAAGTGATGAAGCTTGAGAAAGGAAAAGGAGAAGTGGAAGCAGAAGTGAGAAGGGGAGTGACATGTAACATGACATTATCACACTTACTCAGAGGAGAGAGAGAGAGAGAGAGAGAGAGAGTGGCATGTGGTAACGGTTGGGGAAGTGGGAATAGGGAGGGAAGAGTAGCGTTGGATACTCATTTCCCACGGTCAATTTTTCTTTTTTAGTGCTGTTTGTAGGTCCTGTGTCCCAATTTTTTCTACCAAAATACCCTTACCGAACTTCTTATTTTTCAATTTTCAAAACAAAAAAAACTTTTATGCATAATGGATGATCGAATTTCTGGCCGTTCTTTATTTTTCATTCAAGTCATATGTACAAATGAATCTACTCTCAGTTCTTTCAAGCTCAAGTCTCATCTCATTTATTATATGTCATTTTACTTAGTGGTCATTACATATCGTATGTTGTTTGACGTAATCTTATAACATATTTTGTCTATCTACTGCATGTTGTTAGAGTTAAATAGCATTTGAAGTAAGGATTCGTGTTATAGTTTGTGACTCATTATAATATTTTTTTTCATAAAAAATACACGTAAATTAAAAATAATTATAAACTCATAAATCAAACGTTCACTCAGTAATCATTAATAATATCTTTTCAATTAAAGTGCTATTTATTCTCTTTTTCTTTTAAAAATTAGTTAATGAGCTAAAAAAACATATATATTCACTAGAAAATATAGTAGTCATTAATAATATATTTTCAATTAAAGTACTATTTGTTCTCTTTTCTTTTAAAAATTAGTTAATGAGCAAAAAAATATGATCTCGTTCACTTTGCGGATTCGAGTTTTTAATTCGAGCTGATATGTGATATTTTTTTAGAGCTTTTCACTGTAGAAGAAAAAGTTATATGTGACATTTTCTGAGAACTTTTTACTGTAAAAATTTAAAACTGAAAACTCAAATCGGTGAAATGAACGAGGTCTATATATATTCACTAGAAATTTCTTATCTCATTGTAGAATGCCTTTTGTGTTTTTGAGAATTTTTGAACAATCATCAGGTATTCATTAGGTTTATGCTAATAAAAATATACCCTACTCATACACGCAGATGAAAAAAGATAATATACTCTTTCTGGAGGGAAAAATGGTTTCTAGCTCAGCCACAAGTACAGTTCCTCGTGTGAAACTGAGACGTGGAGATATCACAATTTTCAACTCCGCCGAAAGGTCCTTTTAGCCTGAGGAGCAGTGCAAAAAATAATTCATGGGAAAGATGTCTAGTCTGCTCATTCAGAGAAGCATTTCAAAAGAGCAATTGATCAGCAAAGTCGCTGGGTCCCATAAACCGTGTCTGCCAGTGGCTCTCTCCCCAATAAACTTGAAAATCTCAGCCACTTTCCTCGGTTGTCTGCCCTTTATTTACTTCCCGCCAATCCCTCTCTTTTTTTATTTTTATTTTTAAATTTCTACAATATATATATTTTTTAAAACAATGAATCGGTGTCAAAGTGTCCGTTTAATTCATTAATTTGAATTTTTAATTTAAGTTGAGATATATTTATAAGTTTTTTATTATAGTAAAAAATTAGATGTTACTGCTTCTAAAATTTTTTTACTGTAATAAAACACAAATTGATGAAAAAAACGGTACTAAAATATCTCTAATTTAACAGTTAGATTTATATCATAAATTATTTATTATACATATTTTTTTTATTTTGATATGTTGCTGATCAAATTTAACAGTTGTAAAGGCCCCGTTTACTTCGCTGATTCGAGTTTAGAATTCAAACAGTAAAAAGCTCTCACAAACAATCACATCTAACTTTTTTGTTACAGTAAAAAGCTCTCACATAAAGTCACATCTCAACTCGAATTCTAAACTCGAATCAGCGAAGTGAACGGGACCAAAACATATATTATAAGTAGAAAACTCTAACACAGAAGCTCGATCTTTATTTCTTAAAAGATAATAATTGTAGAGTTTTTTTTTTTATGATAGGAGGACCTTAAAAAAATTTGTTGGTAGAAGTTTGTTTTAAAAGTTGTGATATGTTTTAAAAAAAAAGTATTTTGGCTATGTTTATTTCACCAATTTGAGTTTAGAATTCGAGTTTTATTACAATAAAAAGCTCTCATAAACAGTCACATTTAACTTTTTTACTACAGTAAAAAACTCTCGCATAAAATCATATCTCAACTCGAATCAGCGAACTAAACGGGTCATTTATATAATTTCATTTTGATTTGATTTTAATAAGATTTAACAATAAAAAAGTACACTACAGATTTAATGCCCTAATATAAAAGTGCCAACTAAGTTTAGAGACTTTCTCCGGTGTTCTTTTCTTTTTGATAATATTGATATTTTTTATTTTTTAGCCGTCAGATATGTATCATAATCTATCTATTTTACATATTTTTTCAATTTAACTAAAAAAATAAAAAATAACGGTATTTTCAAAAAAATGAACACCAAAAAAACTCCTATAAGTTTAATAATAATGGCACAACGGATTACTAATTAAAAAGCATCAATATTGATTATACGTTGAATTTTTATTTTTAGTTTCAAAATTTTATTTTTAAATAATATTTTTCATAGTAATAGTTTTTAACTTTAAAGTTAAAATTCAAGAGAGAGAGTTTTCTTCTTTTGTTTTTTGATTGGATCATGAGAGGTAATTCCGAAATAACTCACGATTCAAAATTGTTAAAAAATTGAACTCGTAAACTAAACATGAAAAGTACTTTGATTAATTTCACAAATTCCCCATTTTTTGTATTTTGATTCAACATGCCCATTAAAATTTAAAATAGATTCATTTTAACCCATAAAGTATGAAAGGTGATTCAAACTATTTCTTATAATGGTATTTCATACCTGCCTTATAAATTATTAGTTTTATGACAATTTAGGCTTTATGTAGATGAGTTGTAGCCTAAAATTCGAAATGAGGATGAGTTTTCGAAGTTAGCTCACCCTCGCGAGATCGCAAGCCTTTGTCCTGACCATTATAGAGATAGAAGACCGGGCCGGGCCCATCTTGAATCTTGATACAATGTCAGGCTAGGTCGGTCTTGCACGATATTGTTCGAGACATGGGCTAGACTATCATTTCTCAGCCTATGGGTCAGCCAAGCAAGGCCCATGAAAATTCATGGGTCATGTCGTACTAGCATGAACAGGCTCAACATGGGCCAGAATGAGTTGGCACGTGTAAAGCCCACTTGATTCGGCCCATATAGGCTCACAATGGGCTAACTCATGAAAGGTCCATTGTAGCCCAATTTCATATATATATATATATATATATATAAAATTATATTTTTTTTTTGCATTGTTCACTCGTGGGTGAACACAGCCTTGGATAAGCCTTCCGCAAGGCTTGGCATATCAAGGTTTTTATGTTTGTTGTTTGTTTGATTTTTATCTAGTAATTTTGTAAATATCTTATGTATGATTATTCTAACTATACTCATTTTTTCTTACCGAGATTTTGTCCTACTGAGTTTTTCTTAGAAAGGATTTTAATGAGAGAAGTAATTAACTATTCATACTTTTATTAACTTGTTTAGAAATTTAAAAACAAAAATTTTAAAAATTTAAAAATTAAAGACTAAGATGGACTGGCTCATCTAAACCCACAATGGGCCAAGATGAACCTACCCATCCTAACTCATTGATGGGCTCAAATGGGTGGGCCTGTTCACGGCCCAACCTGACCCACAGAAAATTGGCACATGGTGGGGCTGGGCCGAAGGTTGCTTTTATATGGCCCGACCCACCAAAATTATAAGTTGGCCTGGCCCACTACCCACACGGGCCTAAGTAGAATGGGCCGGCCATTATAGCACGTGTGTCGCTCAGGGCATAAGGAGCATGATGACTCGACGTCATCTTCACCTTCCTTCGGCTCATCACCGGTAGTCTGCTTAGGGTTCCAAACTCAACGGTAACAATTAAACACGAGAGTTGCGCTCGTTAAAATACTAGGGTCAAGTGGACATACGATAATAAATAATAATTTAGGAGGTAAAGTGACGTAAAATAATAATTTAGGAGTAATTATAGAGTATAAGTAATATCATGTCATCATCTGTCTTAGTTTTATAAATATATGGAGAATTTTGAATGAGCCTTTTCAAAATTTTGAGGATATATCAAAACAAAATAGAAAATTCAGGAAGTATTTATAAAAATTAATCCAAAGAGCTAGCATAACTTAATAATCCAAAAACTAACTATACTAAAAATGCTTCATTTCAAAGAATTTAACAAAAGAAGGAGGCGTCCACGGCGAGAGTCCAAGCCAGAGTGTGTTTGTCAAAAAGTATTACAAACAAATATTAATAAAATGCTCCAGTCCAAACATAGTTTTTGCTTTTATTTTTTTTATTGGCCAATGGAGTACTGGAGCATGACCTTTGGATTGTCTGGGATATAATGAACATTATTAATTATAATTTAACATCTCAAACGGAAGTTTTCAAATTACAGACTAGTTTCTAAACAGTACTAGTACTCATTATTATGGGCTACAGGCTCCTATGATGATCAACTTGTTGAATAATAATCTATAGCCGCCTCGTACGTTTGGTTAATTTTGTATTCAGTTTTTTTTTTTTTTTTTTCCGGACAATGTTTAGAAGATGTTTAGTTGGAGGATTCAAACAATAATTTAAATTATAGTTCATGGTTCGTTACAGTGTTTTTTCTCACAAAAAATACACGTAAATTGAAAATGATTCTAATCACATGATTCTAATCCACGAATCAAACTCTCCTTAGTTATAACTTATAATCGATCAGCTTGATATATTGATACGTTGAAGCAATTAAAAAGGACGTAACACAAGTGTCGATTTGTTATACGATGAAGCTATGTGATGATAATGATCATAGGATCCATATGAATGATATATATATACAATAATTTAAATTATAGTTCATGGTTCGTTATAATATTTGTTCTCATAAAAAATACACGTAAATTAAAAATAATTATAATCACATGATTCTAATCCATGAATTAAACATCTCCTTAATTATAACTTATAATCGATTAGCTTGATATATTGATACGTTGAAGCAATTAAAAAGGACGTAACACAAGTGTCGATTTGTTATACGATGAAGCTATGTGATGATAATGATCATAGGATCCATATGAATGATATATATATATATAAAAAGGACGTAACACAAGTGTCGATTTGTTATACGATGAAGCTATGTGATGATAATGATCATAGGATCCATATGAATGATATATATATACAATAATTTAAATTATAGTTCATGGTTCGTTATAATATTTGTTCTCATAAAAAATACACGTAAATTAAAAATAATTATAATCACATGATTCTAATCCATGAATTAAACATCTCCTTAATTATAACTTATAATCGATTAGCTTGATATATTGATACGTTGAAGCAATTAAAAAGGACGTAACACAAGTGTCGATTTGTTATACGATGAAGCTATGTGATGATAATGATCATAGGATCCATATGAATGATATATATATATATATAGCAGCCGAGTAGCATTATCACGTGCTTAATTCGAAAAATATATTCCTATAACCAAACAATAAAAAATGAAACAATGAAGAACAATTACATGTAGAGATGACCGTGCATATATATCGCTACATTGTGTATTTATTAATTTATATACGCAGTCTGTAAGAGAATTGTACGCCCCGTTTAGTTTACTGATTTAAATTTTTAATTCGAGTTAAGATGTAATTTTATATGAAAGTTTTTTACTGTAATAAAAAAGTTAAATGTGACTGTTTTTTAAAAAAAATTTATTGTAACAAAACTCAAATTAGTGAAATAACCGGGACAAATGAAAGTCTTGAGTTTGTCATGCCGCATGCGTATAAAGTTGATCTTGATTCGTTGCTTGTAACAAACTTATTTTACATTAAAAATATTTAGAATTCAAATCACCAATCTAATTTTTATGTACACAATATATCTAATTAATCACATCATTTAAAAATTAAAAACGTTTTTAATTGACTTTTTTTTATAGCTGTTTAAATGATAGGTCGTTTCAATCTCACATTTTGGACCCGTTTAGTTCGTTGATTTGAGTTTTTAATTTGAGTTGAGATGTGACTTTATGTGATAATTTTTTACTATAGCAAAAAAGTTAGATATGACTATTTATGAGAGTTTTTTACTGTAACAAAACTCGAATTCTAAACTCGAATCGGTGAAATGAACGGACTCTTTATTTATTAGTTGTGTATTCTCTTTGTCTTTTTAGATGTATTCCCTTTTCTCTCGACAGAAAAAAAAAAAAGATAAAAGGAGAGAAATTATATAATATGTATAATTTTTAATGTCTTGAATAATATCTAACCAATCATATAATATAAAATTATTTAATAAATAAACATAAAATTTAAATTAAAAAATATTTTAATTTTTAAAATATTAATATAACATAATATAATTAGTTAGACATTATTTTAAACATTAAAATTAGACAGATAATTTAAATATCTAAATCCCAAATATATGGTCGGACGTGTAACATGCATGCATGTATGTATAGCGTGCCGAACAACTACGTATGCGTTTTTTAAAAATATAAGGAATTATATTTTATTATTATAATAATTATTATTATCAATATTATAAACCAATGTTCCTTCTCCCTCCCCTAGTCTCTCTAAACTTCAAGATTGTTTTTGCGGCTACCATCAGAAATTTAACTACAGAATTCTTATAAAAAAAAAAGGAAATTTAACTACAGAACGAATAAGTATTAATTAATTAAGGTTTTATTTATTTCACTAATTTGAGTTTTTAATTTTAATTTTATTACAGTAAATTTTTTTTAAAAATAATCACATTTAATTTTTTTATTATAATTAAAATTTTTTACACAAAATTACGTAATCTTAATTTAAATTAAAAATTTAAATAGACAAATTGAACCTGAACCTAACCTAATTATATTGTGATGACAATTACTTGCGTGGTTATGATTACTACTTCAAATGCGCTGATATTTTCAACCAAAAGTTGATTAATCATTGCAAAGTTTCACGCTAACTTTTTTTTTTTTTTTGACGGAAGTTTTACGCTAACTTTAACATATTCAATTTTGTTCTCTCAATGTTAAATATAAAGAATACGAGAACATTTTTAAAATATACTAATTATAAATAAAAAGTAAAGGACATTATTTTCGCGTGTTGTAAATTGTAATGACATGTTTTTGATAGTTACGAGTTGTAACATGTTGGTTATATTTTTGTTATTTTCCAGCAAACAAATAAATAGTATTTGTTATATTCTCATTTCCAAATCAATTATCTATAGTGATTCCATGTTCCCTTACGAGTGTTTATTTAGTTGATGATGAGCTCGTCATAGACTGTAATGTAATCACTTCATTAGCCACATGTTGTAACGACCCGCACCCCCAATTCTTTGGAACTTGCTTTAATTTTCAGAATTCTCACGGTTCTGGTTGGTGTGGTTCTTAAAGGCTTCATTTTGGTGGGTTTATTTTTTCTTACGTTTATTTAAGTGGTACTTAACACAAATGGCACCTTTGACACATCCACCTATGGTGGTAGGTGGAGTGATTCCATTGTTAACAATTAATGCAATCTCAGGTCTAGGCATAATGCCAAAAAATGATAAGTTGTGCAGTCTCACGTCCCCTGAAGATGAAGATGGGTCCTGATTTATAAGGAATGACAACACCTCCTAATGGTATGAAGTCTTTTGGGGTGAAGCCCAAAAGTAAAACCATGCGGGCTCAGGCCCAAAGCGGATAATATCATGCTAGGTGGGGGTGCGGGTCATTACGTATGGTATCAGAGCCTCTACCCAACTGGAAATGTGGCCAACGAGGACGTTGGGCTCCCATGAGGAGGGGTGATTGTGACAACCATAAATCCTTTGAGGCACAATGCCAATAAAGGGTAAGTTGTGCAGTCTCACATCGTCTGAGGATGAAGATGAGTCATGATTTATAAAGAATGACATCACCTCCTAATGATATGAGGCATTTTGGAGTGAAGCTCAAAAGTAAAATCGTGCAAATTCAAACTCAAAACGGATAATATCATACCACGTACACTTACATTTGTTTTTGTCCTTAAGTTAATTATCGGACTATTATTACTACTAAAATTTGAATATACAAAAATTTCTTTCCCAACTAATTAAACTGAGAATCAAACGGTAATTCCACTTGAAGCTCAAGTCGTTATATTGCTTGCTATTAGCCTTATTCTTTACCCATTCCTTAAAATATACAGTCGCTATTACCTTTGTTCTGATTTATATAAAAATAAAAAAGATGTTTTTCTTTTTTTTTTTTGCATGCATGCAATAAAAATAATAAAGGTTCATTCCACAGATAACAAAAATTTTAAAATAATATTAGAATAGCAAAATTTATATCGATAAAATAATAACTTTATAAATATATAGTATAAAATTTGATATTATGATGATAATTATTTTGTCATTTTTTATTTTCATAATAGTTTAAAAGTTTTGATAAATTTCAACTTAACGTATAAAACTTTTCCATGTATTATTATCTCAAAAATAACTGTAGCTAAGTAGCTAGGAAAATCTGGGCTTAAGCTCCTGATTCGTACAGCCCAGCTATGTTTGGGTTGGGTTCGTAAATGCTTCAGTCTAAACAACGTGGTACAAACGACAAACAAAGAGACCTCAATTCATTTGAAAATAAAATTGAAAAAGAATTTGGTTTGAAAAAAAAAAAAAAAAAATATATATATATATATATAAACCTGAGACCTTTTTTTTTTCCTCCTCGAAATCATTGTAGTTTTATGTATAGATAAAACTTGTATAAACCCAACCATCTTTACTTCAATCAATTTTTTTTTTGTCCGCCGTTTATTTTTTTCTCTCATGGTTGTTTCAAATATGAATTCATTTGATAAAGGTCCTCTTAACTTTATAACCTAATTCGCCTTCAAACTCTGAAAGACTAGGACGTGTTCGGCTATCTAAAAAACTCAAAAAAAAGACAATTTGAGTTTTAATTTTATTCAAGTTCATATTCTTTTAAGTTTGAATTCGAGTTCGAACTCGAGTTTGAACTCGAGGAGTTTGAGACTAAAACTCGAGTTCAAGTGTCTCATTCAACTCGAGTTCAGAAACTCGAACTCAAATTAATGAACATTATTTTTTCTATTCTTAAAAATGTTATAACTTTTTTGTTTTAATCCTGATTGAGATGATTTTTTTCTATGCGTTGACAACGAAAAGACGAATAAAACCCCACCCATATATCCTATTAAAATTTTCATCACCATTGAGTTTTTATTAAAATACTATATAAATACAAATTTAAGTTTTGACTAACTCAAACACAAACTAAAAAAAAGATTCTTATCTCAAACCATAACTCAAATGTACACAACCAAACACAAACTCAAGTTACAACTTCAACTCAAGTTATAACTCAAATTTAACTCAAAAACTACACTCAAGCACACTTTAAAAGAACAAACCCAAAACTAACTTGAGTTGCAGTTGTAACTTGAGTGTAGTTCTTTTGGAGTGTGACTTGAGTGTAATTTTTGAGTTGAATTTGAGTTATAACTTGAATAAAGTTAAGTAAAGTTGAATAAAGTTGGAACTTAAAAGAACGTGAACTTTAATAAAATTGTAACTTGAATTTAAATTTTTTTTTAGTTTTGTTGCAAAAGAACAACGATTTATGTTGAACTATAACATATATAATGTTGCATTATATATATATAACTATTTTCAAAATAGTATATATAATGTCACATTATATTTATAATTATTTGATATAATTTAGAGGGTGAACTAAACTATTTTCAAAATTTAGAATCATGTCGAACAATGGTATATATTTAATGGATTTAGTGGAGGTTTATAATTAATCCTTATTAAGTATTGTATTAGATTAGAAACGACGACCCTTAAAATAAAAGGGTAAATAAAAACGACGAACTTAAAGGGCAAAAGAAGAAAAACGGGTGGTCAGTAAAGTCGTCCCAGATTCGATCAACCTTGTAGATCTTCCGAAATAAAGGGCAATTTAGTCATTTCGATAATTAGGGCTGGCTCCCTATATAAGCTTCACAGCATCGCCCTCTTGCTTTCTGCTGGACAGCTAGGGTTTTTTGCGCTCGTTGCCTCCGTTTTGCGTCTTCGGCTTGGATCAGTCTACCTCAAAACCCTAACAATGGCGGAACAGGTTTTCCATCTCTTTCTTTCTGATACTTCTGAACACGCTCATTCTCTCTCCATGGGAAACTAGATTCCGATCCATACAACTCTTTCTGAAATTTTGTTCATTTTTTGTTTTGCAGACGGAGAAGGCATTCCTTAAGCAGCCCAAGGTGTTCCTCTGGTAAGCAATTATATGATTCTTATTGACTCATTTCTATGTTCACTTAAAAGTTTCTAAGAAAAACCTCTTAAGAATCGAGAAAATGTCTGAGGAATTCAAGAATTAGGCTTTTCGGTATTTTGAAATCTAGGAAGTGATCTTTTAGTGTCTGATTTTGGGATTCGAACTTGTGTATTTGCTGTTAAACTTTGTAGCTCGAAGAAGCCTTTGAAGGGAAGGAATCCTGGAAAAGGAGGAAACAGATTCTGGAAGAACGTCGGATTGGGGTTTAAGACACCCAGGGACGCTATTGAAGGTGTGAAATGAGTATTTTTTTGGTTGAATTGTTAGTATTTGTTTTTCAATAGTACCTGTACAGATTAATTCAGTCTTCTTTTTCTTCAGATGTATTGACTTATAGATTTTCTATCTTAATTCGGGAATGTGATACTAGAAATTGTAGAGATCACACATATGCTATATAGTGGTTGCCTGACAATTTGTTAGATAAGGAGTATAATGTACGTATTCTAGGGATGGTTACTCAAGAAGAGTTTTGGTATTTGCGATTCTGAATGGATATTGCCTTTTTTTTAGATGGTATTTTCAATGGTTTGCCATCGTATTGCTGTTTTATTAGATAGCTTTTCTATTCGGAGAAAAATATGGCTTTTGTAAGGTAGTCCCCATTTATTTCTTTAACCACTGTGTCAATGTAACAATATTGGCGTCCTAGTCTTCACTTGTTATTTTTTCATTGTTCTGCTTGGATCTTGGTTTGTTTGTTTATTTGTTATTCTGTTTCGTTTCATTGTATACCCAAAATTGTGGTTATACGAAATGTGGGATTACTCTCTACAGAATGTTCTTTTAGGATATGTTTACAGAATGGTATTTAAGTAGAATATGTGCTACAACAGTAAAATGATCCTGTAATCGAACGTGGTCTTTTCTATCAATATATAGTTTGTGTTAGTTTGAATGCTATGTGCATTAGTTAGTTGCTGTTGTTATTTTTTTTTGGCTCTTGTCCTGGACAAGTCCCCCCTTTTTTTTTAAGGTAAAATGTAACAAGAAATATTTTTGTGGCCAATCCTTGCAGCTACATACATTGATAAGAAGTGTCCTTTCACCGGAACTGTCTCTATTAGGGGTCGTATTTTGGCTGGCACTTGCCACAGTGCTAAGATGATCAGGACAATCATTGTTCGCCGCAACTACCTCCACTTTGTTAAGAAATATCAAAGGTTAGATTTGTTAACCTTCCTGAAATGTGTGCTCTTCCCTTTTCTTTTGACAACAGTGTGGTAATTTTTAACATATGTCACCTATTAGATACGAGAAAAGGCACTCCAACATTCCAGCACATGTTTCCCCATGCTTCCGTGTGAAGGAGGGAGACCATGTCATCATTGGTCAATGCAGGCAAGATCTTATGCTTGGCTATGTCATTTAACCTTGTTTACAACGTCAAGCTCCATCCTTAGCTGACGTTTCTACCTATTAACTTTGTTTTAACAATATTGCAGGCCATTGTCAAAGACAGTGAGGTTTAATGTGTTGAAAGTTATTCCAGCTGGGTCTTCTGGTGGTGGCAAGAAGGCATTCACAGGAATCTAATTCCATTGCTATAGATATTTCTGTTAGCGCTATATTTGAGTGAGAACGACATTAGATTGGGGCGAACTTTTTTTTCCCCTCCTTTTTTGTTGTGTTCTTAGTTAATCTTTGTATGGTTGAGTTTGAACTTTATGAACTGAGTTCTTGAATTTTGCAATGCAAAACTAGTTTTTTTCTCTTGCATGATGGTACACTCTGCTTTGGTGTTGTATCGGCAAATTTGCGGTAATGGTATTACAGTATGTTACGGGCGTGCAGTTTCTCTTATACGTACCCGTTTTGGTTTATATGCTATCGATGAACTGAGTAGGAAATTCCTTCATCCGAGTCAACTTGTGATTTGGGCCGAGCTTTGGTAACTCCAGGGCCGGCTCAATGTAGGTGTTGATTTTATAGCTGGTATCGTGGGTTATGATGCTGGGCCTGGGTGACCCAAAAAGAAAAAAAAAACGTCGTGGGAGTTTATTCTACGAGGCATTGATGTGCTTTTAAAGTGGAAGGACACGTTGTTATTTGCCCTGGAAGGACACGCTTTTCAGAGGAACTAAGGTCTCGTTCACTTCACTGATTTGAGTTTAGAATTTAAGTTGAGATATAATTTTATGTGAGTTTTTTACTGTAGTAAAAAAGTTAGATATGATTGTTTGTGAGCTTTTTACTGTAAAAAACTCAAATTCTAAACTCGAATCAGCGAAGTGAACGGGGTCTTAATGAACAAACACTTGTATTTTTAGTTAAAATGACATGAGTGTGAAAGCGATGACTTTTTTTTTTTTAAATATTGCACGTCATTATTTTTAAATGAAACATCTTTTTAGGAAAATTGCGTCCAAGTTGATTACCAAACGTGTCGTTTATTCAGCATTTTGCCTTTTTTCAGTCATTTTTTAGGATCTATTTATTTCATATATTTAAATTCAAATCAATAAATTTTATTACAATATTTTTCTCTTATAAAAAATTTAAAATTTAAATATTAAAATTAAAAATTATAATTTAAATATACATTCTAAACAGTGCTTAATTATATTGAGGAGATAAATTTCAAAATGGCACAGCAAAAATATGCAATAAAGCAGCCACAAAAAGTTTCTACACTGTCATCCACGGAATGTTAAAGTTAAAGGGAGACTTTAGACAAAGAATTATCCACATTAATGCATTACAAAGTCAGCGGGGAGGGAGGCTTTCGAGGCATTTGCTTTCCTCGATTGGGACAAAAAACACACCGGATTAGTTTTCAATGCAACGTGGATTTAATAAATTTATTTGAATGTTGACAAATAACGGAAACTACACCCAAAATTTCGCATTTTCGGCAACATTATTACACTGCGCTTCATTAATAATAAAAAACCATAACTTGTACAATCTTCTACATATACCGAAAGGTTCAAAAATATATATAATTTAAAAGATAATGAGAATATATAATTGATCTTTGTACTATGTGGTAGCTGAACAAATGTTAATTTGGAAAAATTATGTGGATTAAGATGAAGAACAAAAGTATTGCATCCATTTGCAACCTCTATCTACAGACTTCAGAGATCATGCAATGAAACCTACAAAACAAGCCAAGCACACATAAAGTACGTCTTAATCTCAAAACTTCAAAATTGGCCAATTAGTGAAGGGGTTTTTTGGGGCTGCTGCAGATACAAGTTACAAACAATCGAACATTGCTCGGCCATGATACCGTGGTGTTTATCCTCAATCGTCACATTATACGGGACTCATAAATAGAGTCCGTCTTTTATTAGTTGTAATCCTTAAAATTAAACGTGTTACAGAGCACTTTTCTGAACAACCAAGTCAATATATTCATACTTGAATTTATTCTGTTATCATTTATAATTTGATTCATGGTTCTTAAAATTAATTAGAGTGTGTTAGGTTTCATATAAGAGTACTTCTAGATCTAGATGAAGAATGCTGTGTGAAAATATATAAATACAAATTATACGTCACAATTATTCGTTCCTATCTTTATATCATTCCCAACATGGTTATCAATGCGATATTGGCTTCTTCTTTTTTTTTTCCGCTAAAAAAGCTTTAATTCAAAGAGAAATCGTCATTACAAAAGGCCACCTCCAGGAATCAAACTGATGAGACAAGGAGGCAAAATAATCCACTGTACAAAAAGAATGGCTAAGACCCCACCTAGCAGCTTGGTGAGCTGGCAAGCTGTATTTATTTGTTCAATAATTGGTATAAACTTGAGAGATATTAGTCAAGTTTTTGACTCTGTTTATTTCGCTGAGTTGAGTTTAAAATTTAAATTTTATTATAGTAAATAGTTTTTAAAAATTGTTAGCCAATTGCCGACACCAGACTCAATTTGGACCTAATCTCATAAAAGAAACTAACAAAAACACGATTAATTGTTTGACCGAGGTTCGGACAAATAACTTGTCCTAGGTGAATTAGTCAAGTTTTTTACTCTGTTTATTTCGCTGAGTTGAGTCTAAAATTTAGATTTTATTATAGTAAAGAGTTTTTAAAAATTATTAGCCGATTGCCGACACCAGACTCAATTTGGACCTAATCTCATAAAAAAAACTAACAAGAACACGATTAATTGTTTGACCGAGGTTCGGACAAATAACTTGTCCTAGGTCCCCGTTGAGCTCTCCCACAGCGAGCTCTATTCCACTATTAGAGAAGAGATTACATCCTCACAACTCACCAACACCAAAGAATCTCACACCCGATTACAAGTAATGAATCCTAGAGGAGAGACCCAAATGTTTCCCTCAAGAAAATACCCAGTGGGAGATCCTAGATTTTCTTGGAACCCAAACACGCTTACAAACCCTCCCTCTCTCTTTCTCCAATGGAGTCTCTGGTTACACAACTGTGAGCAAATGGAATTAATTCCACCGATAATATAAGCATCCTCTTTTATCTAACCCATTACAGCATTAACCTAGATCTAACGGCTGGCTGGAACTCCACGTGTAGAATGGGGATCTTTCCTTCAGAAGAAAACAACTGTACCGTATTCTTTAAGTGACTTGTCGTTTTTTGTGAATCCTTCTCTAAAAGGGATTGTCGTTTGTGGAATTATTCTTACAAAAATAGTAACATTTAAATTTTTTATTATAATAAAAAATTCTCACATAAAATCACATATCAATTTAAATTATAAATTCAAATCATCAAATTAATCGAACTATTTATTTGTCATCTCTTTTTGTCAATGAAATGACCGAGAGGCTTGAAATTTCCAAAACTTTCAAGACAGGCTTGTTGTCTTTCTCAGTACAGACATGCCTGCTTAGATAATATATACGTAATATATAGTCATTATATATATAGGCGTTTTCTGTAGACCAACATCATTTTTGTGGAGAATATTTTCCCCACTCATAATGAAAATGTGGGCATCACGAGATACCTTTTAACCGGTTTTTGCCGGTGTGAATAATTGTTTTTTACCTGTGCACGATATTACATTGATAAATTATTGGGGAGGACATTTTCGTAATATCCGTGGAATAATATATTATTTTCTTCAGTTATACAAATATCTTTAGAGGGCAGAATAGTAAAGTTCCATTTTCAATTGTTAAAAATTAGCGTGTCCCATCTTAATCCGTTGAAAAAATAGTATAATTTTCTTATTATGAGTCGTACAATTAATATTTTGGGCGTCAGAAATTATTTTTAAGCATGACAATAAACTATCATCATTTAACGAACATAAATATTATTGTCGTAAAAGATTACACTTATTATGTTTTTTTTAGTCACATCTGTCCATGTATAAACTTTTATTTAGAGCAGATGTCATCATGACATCAATATACAATTCGATAATTCTTAATCTAGAAAGAAGGTTAACATAATGAGATAAGCATTTGTTGTTTAGCGGAACAACAATTTAGGCCTCGTTCATTTCGTGGATTCGAGTTTTTAATTTGAGTTAAGATGTGATATTTTTGAAAATTTTTCACTATAGCAGAAAAAGTTAGATGTGACATTTTCTAAGAGCTTTTTACTGTAGAAACTTAAAACTGAAAACTCGAATCTGTGAAATGAGCAAGATTTTAAATTATAAAAAGACATCCTTCTTTGAGATCAAATCTCTCCAGCAACCAATATATTAGATCCCTGGCTGCAATTCTTCATTCTCAACAGTGACCCAAAACCCATATGCCTTACCAACTCCTTCATGTCCTCGCCTAGTCCCTTTACTATATATAGAATATAATCGTTGAGGAGAACACCTCATGTCAAATTTCTTGCATGCCCCACCATTGTTTCCGACTTAAACTCATCCGCATCTTCTCTCCTCTCGTATAAAGAAAATACTAAGGTCCCGTTCCTTTCGCCGATTCGAATTTTACTATAGTAAAAAATTTTCAAAAATAGTTACATTAAATTTTTTTTACTACAGTAAAAAGACTCTCACATAAAGTCACATTTTAACTCAAATTAAAAATTCGAATCAACAACCTAAACGGATCCTAAACTTATTTAACTTTGTATCGGCTGCTCCTTACAATTTGACTCAACGCTAAAAGAACTTACATTTATTGGGGGATAGGTCCATTTATTTACAAAACGGGAAACTATAGCCAGGTCCATATATATATATATATACACACATTATATTATGTATAAAAGTAGTACGCATAATATAGGAGTAACATGGGATAAATTTGCTCTCTGGCATATATATATAAATCGCGTGGTGTGTCACATCAGGAGTACGTTCATGATCATTTCGATTTTAGTTTTTTAAGTTCACATTGTTTTGGTTGTTTTTGGGTTTTGCCAATATTAGAGGATATATGCTATGATGATTTGTATTGTAGGGAAAAAGACGGACAGTTAGTCGGACCTTAATATTTTCCTTTCATAGTATTATATCTAAAAATTCCTCCAAAATTTGTATATATTGTCGTTAATTTCGTGGCACAGCATATAAGTAAGGCTGTTAGATTACTTCGAGAATGTTTGGTTGGAGGATTTAAACTATGTGATTTGAACCATTTTTAATTTACGTGTATTTTTTATGAGAAAAAATATTATAGCGAACCGCGAATCATGATTCGAATCAGGGAACGAGTCCCTCTACCAAACATCACTTCCTTAACGTGATTGTGAACTATGACAACAACAGGCCTAACCTTTTACTTCGGTGAAAAGGCTCTGCAAATAAACTCCAAAAGTCAGTGTAAATCACATGCAGAAATAGCCTAATCAGATCCAAAAGCTAAAAGATTTGACGTGTTTGGAACTCATTTTAAAATAATTTTATTTTTTATATGAAAATAAAAATAAAAATATTTTTAATCTCAATGCATAAATTATTTTTAAAAATGCGCTTGATAATTTTAACAAAAGGTTGTTTTTAGTGTAAAAAAACACATTAATGTCTATCTTTTTCTCTGTGCTCAAGAGATAAGAAAACGCAAAAAAAAAAAAAAAAAAAAAAAAAAAAAAAAAAAAAAAAAAAAAATATTTTTTTTTTTCTCTCCTTTTTATAAAAAATCGTTTTCATTTCCGTTTTGTATCTTTATTACGCCAAACGCCGTTATAAAAACGTTCTTATTTTTTCATTATCAAAAAATGTGATAAATATAAACGGGATCAATTTCAAACACAGTCATTAAAGCAAGCCAATGTGCGTGCTTCGTTTACTGATGTACAGATAATGGAATTTTTTGAACTTCTATTACTATATATATAAGATCGCGTTGGACACTATTATTCAATGCGCTATTGTCAAGTTAATAAGCGAAAATGATATTTAAAAATCAATGGGCCTCTATAGAGGAACTAGCTAGAACATGAAATTTTCTCAAATTTTTGTTTTTTTTTTATTTATACTAACTGAAATTTTCCATGTTACTTTATTTGTTTAGGTATTAATTTAAGAAGGATAACATTTTAAAAGATTGACACAAACTGGGAAAAAAAAAGGGAAAAGAAAAGTTTGGGGGCAGATTTGACTAATTTCCTAAACTATAATAACTTCTTCATTTACTTCAGTAGACCTATATGTTTATTATGTACATGAAAGGAAAGATATGGCTTTACTTAAAGGGCTAACGAATAGTGTAAATGTAAATATATAGGGCTCGTTCATTTTACCGATTCGAGTTTTCAATTTTAGATTTCTAAAGTATAAAGTTCTCAGAAAATGTTACATCTAACTTTTTTTGCTACAGTAAAAAACTCTCAAAAAATATCACATCTCAGCTCAAATTAAAAACTCAAATCTATAAAATGAACGAGGCCATAATATACATTTTTTCCAACGGAATGTAATAAAGATTATGTACATGAAAGTCATAAGTAAATTTATCATGTCGCCCAACTAGTTAGTCCAGCTCAGCAAAAAAAGTCATAAGTAGAATCTAGAAGTTTGTTAATTAGTTTTAGTCATGTAACTATAGCTAATTACTCATTACTAAGCTCGAGAATTACAGGATTAATTAGAACCAGTTGCTAGTAATTAAGCATTATCAATATCGTATTACTGTACACTTGATGACCAATAGAAATTGAGCTGAGAGTATTCTTTCTCAAAATTTTCCCGTTCATTTTCTCTCTCTAAACCCTAGTTAGGGGTTTGCATACTAACTAAATCGTTTATTTTAGGTGAAATACAAATTAAACCAATTATAAATTGGTTTAGAGATTTTCAAACCAAATAAACCAATTAAGAGATATAATCCAATTCAAACCAAACTGATTGTAATTAGTTTGGTTTGATTTTTCTAATTGGATTAAACTAATATTTTACAATCTCTTCTCAAATCTCAACCAACTAATATTTCGTGTGATTTTTTGTCTCTTTCTCTCTCTTTTCTAAAGTCAAAATAAAGTCAAAACAATTCAATTATAGATATATTTCCATAATACAGTTTTGACTCATAATTGAATATTATATTCAATTTTTCTATATATATGAAAGAAAACAAACATAAGCAAGTTAAAGACACTTTATTACAAATATCATATTCACGTTAATAAAGAAGCAAGACTTTAGAGAGAATCACGATCATAGCCCATAGGAGTAGAGAATGAGAAAAGAGGAGAGGAATTGCAAGAGTTTGAGGGTAGACTGCTGAAACAGTGTTAGTACCGTATTTATAAGTTATGATAGAAAATTATAAGGTTATGACCATTTAATTTTGAAATAAATGAGTTTTTTAAATATAAATAAATTATAGATGTACAAAATATAGATAATTTTAAGAAAATTATATAGATAGCAATTAGTTTGGTTACACAAACTAAACGAATTTATTGGTTTTTTAAAAATTTAAACCAAATCAAATCAATTATCAATTGGTTTGACTCGATTTTATTTTTGTTTGATTTGACTTGGTTAGTTTTAATGGTTTGTTGCACATTACTACACGCAACTTACTTAAAGGGCTAATGAATGGTATAATAACTATAATCACTTACACACGAAACTCGGTTATTAATATTATCATTTTTTTTAAAAAAATTTTAGGATTCATCATACAAAACAAAGTCTTCTGAATTAAGAATTAAGATAAATCAAACCCCGGCCGATCGACAATTTCGAAGCAAATGCATTGTGATATTATTAAGTTCAAAAGAAATAAAAGGTTTAAACAAATAAAATAGCACAAAAATAAAAAAGTACAAGGATTTCCAAGAAATTCTCTATTAAAAACTAAAAAGGAAAGAAAAAAAGAAGACACAAAAAATTAACGTGATTAAGATAATTTAGTAATTACTTACCCAAGGCCATCAAGATAGTCTATGTTGATGGTAGATTTTCGTCAACAAAAACCGTGCTGGATTACCCACGGTGGTCCGTTGGGTTACCGGTTCGGAACTTGTGTTTTTAGTAAATATTTTGGAGTTTGTAGTTGGATTTTTGCTAGATTATGAAGGAAATGAAACTGTCCCTCCGTAAGTAAATGCACACAGGAAATTTTATAGTAGTTCACCCTGTTAGTCAAGGGCTACATCCACTGTGCTTTTATTTATCTTGATTAAGCTCTTAGAAATTACGTGCATGTAAGGAACAAGATGTTCATCTCTCCCCCCTCTCTCGGGGGCTCTTCCCTTTTATAGTCCATGTTGCCTCAATTTCTGCCCAATGGTAGGCAGCTTGGACCAGTGGATCGTATCATTCATGGGGCCCGCCCACTTGAGTGGCTTATGGTGTCTTCTGTGCAGACTGTAGCCCACAATTACCTTTTAGATTGTTCACTCATCCAATTTGTCCCTCTATTACGGCTCTGTAAATCTCTGTAATAGCTAGTGATCCGTTCCAGGCGGTTTTAGAGGCTTGTAATCATTTCTTATGCAACTGACCTTCTCCAAATCCAGACGCAACCTTCTCTGGGGCCTTTCTTGGGACGCGGGTCCAACTGCTTGCAGTCTGCCGTCTGCGCCTATGCTGATCTATGCCGAGGGTATCTTTTCTCATGGCCGACTTCATCACCCCATTTAGCATCTGATCTCGCAGACCTCGACTGTGTATACAGTCGACGGTCTCGGTCATACATTGGGCTCTCCTGTCATACAAGAGAAACCCAAGAGGCTTGTGCGTCGAGAGCTAAATGACGTGGCAAGAATGGAGCCACGTGTGGCCTGGTCGCTGTCTGACGTGTCGATGTGAATTTTCTCACACAACAGTTTACTAATTAGTTACCCAAATGACCACAAATAACAACTAATAATCAAATTACTAATTAATTACTTACTCAATATTATCAAATCTTCTAAAAATAAGAGATTTTTAAATTTAAAAATTAATACAAATAAATTTAAAAATGCTAATCTTTATAATTATCTATATACATACAAAGGTCGTTCATTTGACTGATTCAAGTTTTTTATTTTAATTTTATTACAATTAAAAGCTATCATATAAAATCATATTTAAATTTTTCTGCTATAATAAAAAGCTAATATATAAAATTACATCTCAACTCAAATTGAAAACTCGAGTTTCAACTTTCAGCTCGCTAATATTCGCCTAACCTAAAATCATTCCTGTTCGGTTCGCTAATTCGAGTTGAGATGTGATGTTGTGTGAGAACTTTTTATTGTAACAAAAAAGTTAGATGTGATTATTTCTGAGAGTTTTTTATAGTAACAAAACTTGAATTCTAAACTCGAATCAACGAAAAGAAGGGCCTAAGATTTCTTCCGCTCTAAAGCCTACACACATGACACACCCATATAAATACGTACATATATTCCTACGCTGATCACGACGTCTAACCCCTCCGTCGAAACCCAAAATATTTTCCTACCAGCCAAACAGTCAATTTTCTCTCAAAACCAAACAACCATGTATAGGGTCGCGAGCGCGTCGGAGTACCTGGTGATAACCGGAATAGGAATCCCCGACATTAAGCTAGCGAAAAAGGCATGGATCCTCCCCGGCCAGTCGTGCACGGTCTTCGACGTCTCGCCGGTGAACTACACGTTCGAGGTGCAAGCCATGAGCGCCGAGAAGCTGCCCTTCATCCTCCCGGCGGTGTTCACCATCGGCCCCCGCGTCGACGACGAGAGCAGCCTTCAGAAGTACGCTAAACTCATCTCCCCGCACGACAAGCTCTCCCACCACGTCAAGGAGCTCGTCCAGGGCGTCATCGAGGGCGAGACTCGCGTCCTCGCCGCCTCCATGACCATGGAGGAGATCTTCCGCGGCACCAAGGAATTCAAACAGGAGGTTTTTGAGAAGGTCCAGCTTGAATTGAACCAGTTCGGGCTGTTGATTTACAATGCCAATGTCAAACAGTTAGTCGACGTCCCCGGCCACGAGTACTTCTCCTATCTAGGGCAAAAAACGCAGATGGAAGCCGCCAACCAGGTTAGTTTGCTTAATTTATGTCAATCAAATTAGTAACAATTGAAAAGAAAAAAATACGCTTATGATTTTTTTTTTCTTTTTTTTTTTACGTTTATTTTTTGGTGTTGTTGTTGCAGGCGAAGGTGGATGTGGCGGAGGCGAAGATGAAGGGGGAGGTAGGGGCGAAGTTGAGGGACGGGCAGACGCTACAGAACGCGGCGAAGATCGATGCGGAGACGAAGATCGTGGCGACGCAGAGGCAGGGAGAGGGGAAGAAGGAGGAGATAAGGGTGAGGACGGAGGTGAAGGTGTATGAGAACGAGAGGGAGGCTGAGGTGGCGGAGGCGAATGCGGTGCTGGCGAAGAAGAAGGCAGCGTGGACGAAGCAGTCGCAGGTGGCGGAGGTGGAGGCCGGGAAGGAGGTGGCGCTGAGGGAGGCGGAGCTGCAGATGGAGGTCGAGAGGATGAACGCCTTGACCAGGACGGAGAAGCTCAAGGCTGAGTTCCTTAGCAAAGCTAGCGTTGACTATGAGACCAAGGTAAAGCTTATGTGGAAAATCGATTTGGTTGGGTTTTGAGTGTTTTTGTTTTCCACGGTTTTTTTTTTAAATAAAAATGGGAGAAAAATAGTGTTTGACACAATTAAAGATAAAAAATAAAAATAAAAATAATTTTTTGATTTAGTCGTTTTTTATTTTTTGTTTTCGTTTTCTCATCTTTTGAGCATAGAGGGAGAGAGAGATATTAATGAATTTTTTATACTGAATACAATCTCTTAATAAAACTACCAAATGTATTTTCAAAAATGATTTATGTTTGAAATTGAAACCGTTTCCATTTCCATTTTTATACAAAAAAATAAAATCATTTTAAAACGAATTTTAAACCCTCTTTATTTTTTGCTTTTATTAATTTTTTGAGGCTTTTTTTCGGTGATTATTATGCTCATAATCTCATTGTTAGAATCAATGGTTGTTTTTGTTTGTATGTTCTCTATTTTCAAAAGCACTTATTAGTAATTCTGAACTGTGAGCGCGTTTGCTAATAGGAATAGAACCAAAAAATAGGAAACAAATTCTGTGGAATTAAGTTCTAGAATCCAATAAACTTTAATGGAGTTATTCTACTCTTTCTAGTAGAAGTTTCGATTTTAGTGAAGAGCTCGAAGAGAGGGATTTGCAGAGGAAAATATTATAATGAGTTACGAATCATGACACGAATTCTCATACTAAATACTTCATGAAGATTCTAATCTCTAGGCTAAAGTTGTACAGCAAAGAGGGCACTTGTCCTGTTTTTAGATTAATCAATAGTTAATCAACCGACTAGAATTAACCACAATTAACTATACTAATTAGAGGTGACGTTTGGTTCATGGGTTTAAAATCATAGTTCATGATTCTGATTTCTGAAATTTAAATTTTTTGTGAGAAAAAAACTCTGTTGCGGAATTAAGAACCATGATCATAAACCAGATAGAACCCTTAAAACAAACGTCACTAGAATTATTTCTAATAGTATATTATAACAACAATTATATAATATTAAGAGATTCTCTAGTACACTTGGTGTACTAGTAGACTAAGTGCCTGTTTGGAATCATTTCTAAAAATATTTTTCACGTTTTTCAAGAATAAAAAAATGAAAATGCTCTCACAAATGCGTTTGGCACCCCATTTCCTGAAAAATAAAAATTGAAAACGTTTTTTACTTATTCTCAAAAAGTCAGCAAAACTGAAAATGATTAAGCATCGTTTTCGCTCCATTTTTCTTTCTCCGACTGCCCCCCCTCTTCATGTATATAATGTTTATTTAATGTATTATTATTTAATATTATTATTTATTTAATATGTTATTATTTTAAATATTATTACATGTTTTTAAAAATTAAACTACCAAACACAAGTTTAGTTTTTTTTTTTAAACTGAAAACAATCTCGGAATAAAACTACCAAACACATTTTCAGAAGTGATTCCAAAATGAAAATAAAAATATTTTCTTTTTTATTTTCATACAAAAAAACAAAACGAGTTCCAAACGCACAAGTTTTTTAACCATTAAATTTGTACATTTTTAACTTTTACATGATTTTATATAGATTTAAGATGTACCAAAAAGTTGGCGTACCGAAAAAAGTTCTTATAATATTTTAAGTTTTGTGAGTCTAAGTTTTTTCTTTCTTTTTTTTCAATTCAAATAATATCATTATTTTCTTACGTAATTGATATTAGTTGTTGCAGCACTATATACTATTGCATACTACGTACCATTAATTTCTTGAAAATAACTAAGTCCTCTTAACTTCTTCTTTCTCTAAACAATACACATTAGGTGCAAGAGGCGAATTGGGAGCTTTACAAGAAGCAAAAGGCAGCAGAGGCAATTCTATACGAGAAGGAAAAGGAGGCCGAGGCACGAAGGGCGATAGCGGAGGCGGAATTCTTTGCGCGGCAACAAGCGGCAGACGGAGAATTCTACGCCAAGAAGAAAGAGGCTGAGGCGCTGGTGACCTTGGGGCAAGCCCAGGGCTCGTATCTGCGCACTCTTCTCGATTCCTTGGGAGGCAACTACGGCGCTTTGAGGGACTTCTTGATGATCAACGGAGGAATGTTTCAAGAGATTGCCAAGATCAACTCTGAAGCTGTGCGTGGACTTCAGCCCAAGATTAGCATCTGGACTAATGGTAATGATCAGGGCACGGATACTGGAGCTGCGATGAAGGAGGTCGCCGGAGTCTACCGCATGCTGCCGCCGCTGTTTAAGACGGTTCACGAGCAGACCGGAATGCTGCCGCCGACATGGATGGGTGCTTTGACCAATACCACTTCCGACTCTTGAATCCAGTACTTGATTTTTTTTTCTTCTTTTTTAATTTGGTTTTTGCTGAAAAAATCTAGTACCTAATGTCCAAAGGTTTTGAAACATGATCATTAGCTTGAGTTCGAAATTTTAATGGAGTTGTTGGATTTTATAGAATTTTTATTTTTATTTTTATGAATGACATCTTTTAATTTGATTGTAGTTTTATTTTTCTTAAAGTTTTTGTTAATTTCTTAAAGTTATAAAAAGTCCTAATGATTTGACAAATCAATTCTTAAAAAAAATGATAATTTAACTTCTCAATTTGAAGATGTGTGATAACTAATTGATCATAAAATGTCACAACTACTTTTATCTCCTCTGTTAAAAAAGATTAAAAATTGATGGACTCCGTAAATTTACATCCTCCTTCAATTCCCAAACTACCCAATATTCTATTTTCTTCTCCAAAATTCCTCATCCAATTTCTCTCCTCTCCATTTTCTGCTATACCAATCACAAGCTAAAGTTCAAGTCAGATTATTAGCCCTCTCTTTCACTCGGCTTCTTTGGCAGAACTAGCATCCATTGTCCTTGTAATTTGTCGGCGTAGATTCGTAATTTACCACGGCAAATACGGAATAAAATGTCTTGTAAGAGGAACAAGTGGATAGAAGAACTGATTATTTCCATGCTTTTTGATCTTGACTGGTCCGATCTAGTCCCACTTTCGTTATCATAACGGAAGCTCTTCACCTTAGGCTCTAATTGGCTTTGTTTCAATGCTACTTTCTATTTTTCAAAAAAAAAAAAAAAGTAGATTCTCATATCATCAATTTCAGCGTGAAGAATTTGTGACATGAATGTTCTAATTCTTCCATAATAGAGCATATATACCCCTTCTCACTTTTAAACTGACATAAAAGTAAATTTTTACAAGTTTGGAAATTTAGTTTATAAATTCAGAATTATAATTCAAAATTATTCTCGACTTATGTGTATTTTTTATAAAAAAAAATACTATAACAAATTACGAACTATGATTCAAATCATGACACAAATTTTTGCACTAAACACTCTCTAAAATATGCAGCTCAAATCCTCTGGTAATGTTTGGTAGAGGGATTTATTTCCTGATTCGAATCATGATTCGTGGTTCGTTACAGTATTTTCTCTCATAAAAAATTCACATCAATCAAAAATAATTCAAATTATATGGTTTGAATCCTCCTACTAAACAGTCAAGTTTCGGTTTGGTTTCAATTTCTCTACATTTACGTTGGATTCGTTTTTTTTTCCCACTAAAATAAGGCGGCTACCCGGTACCTTGTCATGATGATTTTTCATTGAAACTCTTTTTTTCCCCGGTGAAGTATTTTATATACCTCTTAGGCAATGTAACTTTAAATGTTTTATCCTTTTTAATAAGTTCTAAAATCTTGTCCCCTACTTTCTGATATGTACTCTTCGAGTTAGTAACTGTCACGCTATTTCCAATTGAGTCTTGAGCATAAAGTTCACAAAAAAAATTATTTCAATTGGTGTCTGTTGAGAATTAAACAAGAAAAATATGTTTTTTTTTTTTTTTTGGGTTAACACAAAGATGTGATTTTGCTTTGTTTAGAAATTTTTTGGTTTCTTTTTTTTTTTTTTGGCTACGAATAGAAGCTTTTTTGGTTGGTTGACTTCGAACAGAATCAAACCGTTCACCGTCGTTTCTACAACTTCCAAGGACTTTCTATAGTTTTAGAAAAAAAAAAAAAGGACATTCTATAGGATAAATCATAATAGTAGGAAGCTACTCCATAATTAAATTAAAAAGAAATGCACTATCCGGAATTGGAATTGGTTACCCAAAATCGGAGGGGAAAAAATAATTGTACTTTCACTGGAATATGCTCCCCAGGACCCAAACACCCGATCTTTTTTTTGGGGGACCCCACCAGTTCATTACCACGCTTGACACAAGCCAGTTAAATCACGCCACGCAACCACACCGCTCCACTGATCGAAGCACCAACTTGGGCCCCACCCTCTATTGTCTTAATGGGTGCTTGTGACGACACAGTACTCTCTGACCAACACTTTCACTTTTCCAAGCAAAAGCAAGAGCAGCGAAGCCAAGCTGTATTCACAATCGACGGCTCATAAGCTCCGTTGATCACCAACTGGCGCATCCGACGGTCATAATTTGCCCAATCCACTACGCTCGTCAACATGTCCATGTCAGTGTCCCCTCGGCCCTTGCCTCGATATACTACACCCGTCAGGTGTTCTCTCTTCTCTCTCTCTCTCTCTCTCACCACTGTTTCTCTGCAACTTTCTCTCTCCTCACTCTTTCTCCCTCCTCACTCTTTCTCTCTCTATCAAACAGAAACAGCATAATCCTCCCTCTCCCTCTCCCTCTCCCTCTCGCCGTTGAAAGCCAAAGATTCTCTCTCTATCTCTCTCCTTTTCGCTTTGGTAGAACCAAAATCGAGTGTGATTATTGGAGGTATCTCTCAGTGTGCGAAGCGATGGGAATTGCGAAACCGTAATGCTGTCTGACGGTTGATTTTCCCTCCAGGAGAGTTTATTTGGCGTGCTCGATGGTTTTTGTGGAGGGAGATTAGGGTTTTCCGAGCTCTTAGAGGTATGGAGAACTCGTGGCAGGTCAAATGCGGTTCGACATTGCAGTCTTCGGCTCCGTCCCTGGCTTCCTCGTCGTCGCAGGAGCTCCGTAATCAGGTACTTCCATGGCCGTTTTCTTCTTTTTCATTTCCCTCCTTTTTTTATGATGATCGTTTTGCACGTGCTTAACTTGAGTCTCTTCCTCTAAAATCAAAGCGTATTGCGGAAAATACAGGACGAATGTTGCAGAAGTTAATTGGATAGATAAATGTAGTACGGTATTCGTTGAGGGACCGTGTTAATTGTACTATCTTTTTTGTTATATTCATCATTGTGTGTTTGTGGAGAGAAATCTTCGGTTTTCTTCTTCTTCTTCGGTACTTATATGATAGGCATTTGAGTGTGAATGCGTTAATTTATCAAACACACACACACACACACACACACACACACACATATATATATATATATATATATTGCCATTGTGCTTCTATTTGCTACAATTTGAAGTTTCCAGGATTCCGAGGGGTTTTCATAGCTTTGAGGAAAAGGTACAGGATTGATTTTGGGGTGTTTATAAAGTATGATAAGAATCTCCTTCTAGTTCATAAACTTTAAAAGTGGCAGCTCCTAAATTAGTAAAAGAGTTCTTCTGGACTACGATTAAGCTAGTAATAATGCCATGTGTCTCTTCATTCCATCAAAGAGGAAGGAATAGGTGTGCTTGCTTTATAATTTCTCTGAGGTGAGAGGAGCCTGAGGATGCCCCTTTTGCTGCAAGGAGTTTTCAAGTTTCACCTCATGGTAGTTGCAAACTATTGTGTTCTCTGCAGAAGCCTTCATTTTTGTACAAATTTGGCTGTCTGTTACTTTATTACATGATTTTGTTGCATGCGGTGTGAGGACATCTCGTTTCAGTTGGGTAGTTGTTCTAATCACCAAGTAGGTCGAAAAAGAAGAAACTTTTTTTTTTTTTTTTTATATAAATTTTTTCCTCCAAAATGAAATGCGAGTTTCAAAGTTATGGATGTTTATCTTATCTTAATTTTTTTTTTTGGTTGCTTTATCACATTTCTTGTCATGGTCCTTTATTTTCATGTTTAAGCCATATTCTAACCCGAATTCTGATTTTCATTTTAAATACAGACGGAAAGGAATGCAGGATATTACTCCTATTCACATGATCCACGTGATTTAAGTCTCAAAGTGCTTGGGACGGTGCAAGATCCCCTGCTTCCTAATTATCCAGATTTAAGCTTCCAAAAATCAGGACATGTAAACCTTGGAAATTCTTTTCTGGCTCTCTTATCAGGGCCACCATCTCTCTTGCAGTGTGATTTTAAGGAGTTATCGAATTCAAAACTTATGAGTGATGGTAGTAGTGTTATTGTCAATGCTATTGGAAACGGGATCCCACTGAGATTTAGTGGGTCACCATTAGAATATATGAGTGAGCAAAATTTGCAACCTGGAGTAGCTTTTAGTCCCTCTAACTCAACAAGGGGTGTAGAGGCTTCCAACTGTAATACCAATTCCGTTCTGCCTGGACTTCAGAGTCCAGACGTGGAAACAACAACCGTCCATTGCATGGTCCCTAGTAGTGAGAAGGCAAAGGGTTCCTTATCCATAAATGGGGAATGGCATGGTGCAGTCGCTCCAAATACAGGGAAGCTTTCTAGCACAAAAGTGCAAACTTCACAAATGAAGTCTCTAGAAGAAAACTCTTCCATTTCTAATCAGTATCAGTCATCCAAGGTTCTGAGTGAGTGTCCCCGGGTTTTTTGCTTGGGTACTGGTGAGTGCTTCAACCCCCTTTGTTTTATCAATTGTAGTTTGCAGTATTTGCATGGTACTTTCTGATGTTTGATTTGATGGTTTTATCTTTCAAATAGGTGGATATCTACTTATCAGTAATACCGGACTTCTTGGGATTGTTTGCTCATGTCATTCTCTGCACATGTCTGTCTTAAAATTTTGTGAGGTTGGTCCGTGATTTTTATGCTACTAAGAAGGTTTGGTATAATTCAATCTCGTCCATGTAGCTTAGGCACAAATGAACTCTCTAACTGTTTTTGTTTTGTAGCATTCAGGATTATGTGGTGTTAACCCTGGGGATGCTGTTTGTATGGACAATGGTCAAACCATTGCTCAGTGGCGGAAACTCTACTTCCAAAAGTTTGGGGTATGATTTTTATGTTAAAATAATGTAGTTTTGTTTCATGTTCTTTTTTGCATGTTATTTGAAAGGTGTATGAATTTCTGGTGTATCCATGAGCGTACGTGAGAAAGCATGGGGTATATATTGCAGATAATTTGTCCTTTGGAAACACACACACACGCACTCACATGTATGGATGTATGTACTGCATTCCCGAAATATATGTCACCTTTGCTCATTATAGGCATAGGGATCAATGATATCCCATAACTGTGCATATAATTTCATATAGGTGCTGGTAAGGGTCATATGAGACCATTATTACTCCCTTTATTTTTAATCTTTATTATTTCTTAAGTATAATTTCTTTGTTGATAATAAGGTAGGGTTTTGGAGAATTGTTTGGTCTTGGTCTTTCCATGATATAGCTTCCTTTCTTACCTTTTGGTTCTTTGGCTCTTGGCTTAGGTGGTGAAGGAGTGTGGAATGAGCATGAGGGTGTCTTTTGTCTCAAATTTCTCAAATAGCATTGTGTTCAACTTGAGCATTTCCTTGTAGTCAGTCATAATAGTTTTCTATTTAAACTGTGTTTTCTTTTGAATCGTGAATTGAATTTTTGATTTGCATGTGTTTGAAGCAACGAGAACACTGGATGGTGACGTTTTTATGATGCTTTAGATTAGGGTTTCAGAAGAGCAAATTGATTGGGACTGGCCGGAAGGATTATCAGCAACTTCTGGTTTGGTGAAATCTAGAACGACTTTGCCCAATATTTCACATTTGGCTCATTCATCTGGAGGTTTATCAAGGTCTGGACAACTTTCAGATAATGCAATGTTATCAAACCTTCATACTAACCAGAGTATGGTTATTGATGCTTCGCAAAATAAACAAAAGAGGGATGCTCAGGCCAGTAACATACCTCTCAAGGGTTTAATTGACACTTCTCAGAGCAATATGCACCCTGCAGTAGGTTCCCGGGTAACCAATTCAACAGTATCCAAATCTGTTGGCAGTGGTCTACAAGATGGTTGTCAGTCCATTTCTGCTTATACTGATTTTATTTTGAAGAACAGAGATTTGTCCATTACCCGTCCTTCTATGCAGGATTTGAGAACCATAAGTCAAAAGTCTGATTTCACCATGTTTAAAAATGCACCAAATAGCATCTTTGTGGGCAGGGATGCTGCTTTTTCAAATATTGAGTTGAAGCTCGGGCAACCATATCAATCAAGTCAAAATTCAAAAATTTCAGATCGACAAGCACTGGGATCACATTTATTGGACACAGTCATTAATCCTTCAAAGTTGGTCTTCCCTGGGCAGATGATACACAATAGTGCGTCAAGATGTCTTCCTTAAACAAACCTCATTTTCTATCTTCTATAAGTTATTCCTTTATTTCCATTTTTGCCTTAATTTGATTAACAATTTGTGTGACAAATACTTTTATAACCTTGCTGCATTGCAGGCTGCAGGGGAAAGGTGGAACTTGGGCAATCTCTGTACTTTGCTACTGGCTCATGTAGTCCCAACATGAAAAGAGAACAAAACCAGTTGAACCTTGGGAACAATGGATTTGAAGGTAGCAATATCAACAGTGCTTCTATACTAGAGAAATCCAGAGGCAACCTGGTGCAGAGTGCAGTGGTTCCACTAACCAATTTCAACCTTTTAGCTGAGAACAATGTGCAAATAAAGCCCAGCGATAATATTCTCAATTGCTTAGAGCACACTGCAAACCACACACAGTATTATGAACCTCGCTTTGCCAAGTGTGATTCATCCAATGTCCTGTGGAACAGTGGAAATGGCTTAGAAAGGCAATTAAACATTAATGAAATGAGTTCCCATGGACTAATTGACAAGGGTAAAGGGGTGAAACTTATTTCAGAGGGATCTTACTTGAAGGATCCAGGGAGTAGAATTCACAAAGAATTTGAGTTTTCAACCTCTCGTTCTCAGGTTCCAGCATCACAAGGAAGCAGCTCTGATTTATATCAGTGGTCTACTGTACCACTTGAGGCACCTGAAGTCAGAAAATTATGTAATTATCCTGAGAATATTCCTTCCTTTGGAAATTGTCTAAATGTTGATCATGTCAGTCAGAGATCTTTCACTTCATCTGTTGGATCTGGGATAATTTTACCATCACAAGTCGTTACAAAGGGCCACCCTTTGGCGACATCAACTCATTTGTTAGATCAGACTCCATCATTGCACAGAGAAGAGAGCATTGGTGTTAGCCCCCATCTCCTTGATGATAATTTACGAATGCTTGCACTGAGGCAAATATTGGAGTTATCTAAGCAACAACATGCCTTTCCTTCTTTTGGAATGAACAAACGGGATGGAAGATGTGATGGTGTTTCTTATTTACATCATTCCTTTGCTGAGTCTCCAGCAGCTGGGGAACAATTTAATGGACCCGGTCCAATCAGTAGTAGGGAAGTTTCTGAAGCCACTGCAAAAGCACGCTTAGGCCTAGCTGGTGCTACTAGTAAGTTTAGTGGCGATGAAGGTTTTTCTTCTTTGATTGGCAAGTTTACAGTTGCTTTTTGACTATTAATTAAAAAATTTTCTTAAAGAGTAATCTTATTTTTATTGTTGCATTCTGGAATATTCACAATAATTTTTGTCTTGGAACAGGCATGACTGGCTGCTGTGATTTGTCGACACTGATAAGAGGAATTCCAATACATACGAAAGAAATTGCTGTTCAAGGTCAACGTTCTAGTGAGCAGTCCTCAATGAGGTTGGTGTAGCAGCCCCCATAAATAACTCTTGGCATCTTACTCTATAGATTTTGTATCACATTTTCTCCCTGAAAGGATCATATCAGCTTTCTTTAAGTCTGATGTTTTTCTTTTTCCTTTTTCCTTTTTTTTTTTTCCTTTGTAAATGTTTGAGACATCGTAGAAATGAAAAGAATGTTGCTGGACCAAGTGAGCATGAAAAACGCTGCAGAGTACCTTCTATGTGTTCCCAGCGCAGCTGCAATTGCTCAGTACATATGAATTGTTTTACGACGAATTTGGAGTCAACAGTTGGAAGCTGTCCTATTGCCTTAAAGGAGCAAAGAGGATTGGTAAATGGAGAAGCATCTGTCATATTTGGTTCAAAGTTTGCTAAGAATCATATTGTTCAAAATGATGAAATCATTTCTTCAGATCAAGGAGAAAAATTAAATGAGAAACTACCCAACAATATCGGCGGTCATGCTTCCCAGTGGAGAGATGTTCCAAGCAAGGTGAAAAGGGTTTCTACTACGATGTGTAGGGATAGTTCTGCTGAATGCATTAATGTTACGATGCAGACAAAGAACTCCTCTAAAGAGAATGAAACTTCTAATATCTCTTCTGGATCTTCTGCCCCTGCGGTTACTCAGCTGTCAGTTGAAGTTAACAAGACGGATTACTCTTGTGCTGATGCTGGAAATACTGGGTGCGTTAGCAATCTCGTAGTTGATGAAGGATCAGGCATAGACAAATGCTGGTCATCAGATGATGCACGTGGAAGTGAAAGAAGCGAAGATTTTCATGGTGATAATTGTAAGACTAGCTTTACAGAATCTGGGTCTTCCAAGAATGCAAACTGTAAGTCGTCAAGAAGTCTTCTTGATGAGCTTAAGCTCATAAATTCTTTAACATGGAAGAAAGGTCCAAAGCAAATCCAAACCGGAACCTTCCTTAACGAAGAGGACCATCTTTCCATTAAGTTGAATAGATGCCTAAAGAAGGGGAAGAAGAATAGAGATTGTTCTTCTCTAGTACATGATGAAAGTAATGAAGGAACTAATTCCGCTGAATTTCCCTCTTCTGCATCCCAACAGATACATTCCTTATCCAGCCACAGGAAAAATTTTGGATCCTGTTCAAATCAGCAGAATTCTGAGCATAGATTGACTACATTTTCTACTATGAAGAAACCTTCTCGTAAAAGAGACATATACAAAATTTACAATGACAAAGAGGAGAAAGATGTTTCTTCGTGTGAAACTCCTGAAATATCAGCTGCAAAGAGATACAAAAAGGATTGCACTTCTACTTCTAATGGGCGGAGTCTCATTGAGGAGCAAACTCATGGTGGCTCTAGAACAAAGAATAAGTACAATTCAATAGGTTGTATGAGGTCATCTCTTAACTGCCAGGCCAATACTCGTCATTGCAAGTCTAAGCCAATAGTATGTGGGAAATATGGAGAACTATCTGATGGGGAATTGGTTGGAAACATGTCAAAACCAGCAAAAATTGTTCCACTCAGTAGGGTTCTTATGTTGGCCAGAAGATGCACACTTCCCAAGAATGAAAAACGTACATTTACTTCTATTAGAGGGATGAAGACCCACAGTGATGGAGCTGATGGATTCCACCGTTTAAGAACTGAGAAGGAAAGCCGAAGCCATGATGCTGCAGTTTCTGGTAAATTAAATAATGAAACTTTCTTGGAAATAATGAAGAATAGATGCTCCGGCAGAGATGATAAGTTTGCTGAAGATTTGTCCATGTTGGAGATAGAGAGACATGAGAACGAGAAAGCTTGTGGAAAAGAAGATAGTATTGCTCATGCTCGGTTGAAGTCAAGATCTAAGGAAATTCGCAAGCGCAGTATTTATGAACTGGCAGTTGATGGTAAACATTCACGTGCTTTCTATATATATAGTATCTATGTTGTTTTACTCGGCTCACTGAAGTAGTTTACTGCCTTCAAACTTAAAGAGTGCTTCCGGTCATACTAAAAAATTAGCCAAAGTTACTTCTAGGGCAGCTAGTCCTCAGTCTTTGTGCAAAGTTAGAGAGAGAGAGAGAGAGAGAGATCTATTCGTAGATAAGGTAACAATTTTGGTATAGTGTAAAAAGTGGCTAAATATCGTTGCTGGGACTTCAAGGTGGCAACAATTCAATAGGATGTTAGTTTCCTAAGTAGTACTTGCTGCTGGATTAATCAATGACATACAGATTGCTTGAGCCTTGAAGAACAATTGGTGCCTGCTTTACTATCTAGAACCGAATTTAATATCAGTCGGTTCAAAACTCTATTTATCTGCATGCATTCTTTTTTCTGTTTGCCTCTCACTTTTAGTTTCCTTTTCTTGTAATTTTTTTTTCTTAATAATGACATTTGCTTATCACCAGGGGAGGCTCCTCATAACAAAACTCTCTCTCTTTCAAAGGCATCAAAATGCTCTCCAGAAGTTTCAAAGGGTACAATTTTGGGCAATGGTGAAGATGGGACGCATGGATTATGCGAAGTGGCTCAAAAGTAAGCTGAGAAATGGAGTTATACTGTTATCTTATACATTTTCGACATAATTATGGACTTTTGGTTTAGCATGTATTTTATTTTTTTATTTATTTTATTTTTTGAAAACAGTTTAGCATGCAGTTAAAGTATAGCAAATTGGTAGCTTATTGTGTGTGCTTTTCGTTTAACAAATTTGTGCAGATCTCCAGACCAAATATGGTCATCTCTTCCGGTTTCAGAATCATTCTGCTGTGTCTGTGGTAGCTCAGACAAAGACGATACTAATAATTTACTGGAGTGCAATATATGTTTAATCAAAGTATGTGGCTAGTAAGATACTGTTCAAACCGAGAGTTCTTCTTAGTTTCTTTGTAAAAATAGATGCTATTAATTAGCTCATGATTTGCAGGTGCACCAAGCTTGCTATGGTGTTTCCAGAGCACCTAAAGGCCATTGGTATTGCAGACCATGTCGGACGAGTTCAAGAAACATTGTAAGCAAAAGGGTTTTGTTTCTTTCTGTAGTTTAATCCGTATTGTGGCCTCATTTTGTTTGTTTATCCTGCGTGCCTTGGTATGCAAGTCTTGTTTTATGATTTTTTTTTGTTGGATTACTTTCTCCTCATATAAACCTTACCTTAAATATAATCGTGATGAAATTGGTTGCTTTAACCCCGTTGCTCCTTGGAGCCATCAAACCTATTTTTTTTTTTATATATATATATTTAATGGAGCCCAATGTTGTAATGGAAAAGTTAATAAGAATGATATATTTGTGGGCAAAATATAAATTAATACAAAGCTGAAGTCGGAAGGGCTATTAACTGTAGCGAGACATTTAATTTTTTTGGACATGAAGATGACTTTTGTTAAAAGAATATAGGTTACCAATTAATATGGTTCTGATATTATCTTTACCATGTTGTCTCGTTCTTCTTTTCTCCCTCCAGCCTTTTGATGCTCTGATAAATTTATGATTATTCCCTCTTCTAGGTTTGTGTTCTTTGTGGTTATGGAGGTGGTGCAATGACGCGAGCGCTGCGGAGTCGCACAATTGTGAAAAGTCTTTTGAGAGTTTGGAATGTTGAAACAGAATGGAAGGCTTTGTCTGTCAAGGATTTGGAAACACTGACCAGGTTGAATTCCTCTGGTCCTGAACGTGAAGAAGGTACCTCATTTCCTATGTGTCAACCTGAAAATACCAAACCATTGGCATCGGTTGTCTGCAAAATGGATATGCCATACAATGTGGATGTTTTGCGGAATTCCCTTTGTGTTAAAAAGTTAAAGGTGGATAATAGTATCACAGCAGGATTTCTTGATTCAACAACTAAGCAGTGGGTTCATATGGTTTGTGGGCTTTGGACTCCTGGAACTCGATGCCCAAACGTTGACACTATGAGTGCTTTTGATGTATCTGGTGCTCCACATCCCAGAGCAGATGTTGTAAGTACTGAACAAAATAATACTTTAAGCAAGTACAGATATTAAATAGTGGAGAAATAAATTGTCTTTTTGATAATCATGAGCTCAGCTATTTCCGATGGTGGTTAATTTTTGGGAAAACTTGTCTTTTATAGTGGAGAAATAAATTGCACCTCTTTTCAACTTTTATTATCACCAAGTTAAAGTTAGATTAAGAGATTCTTCCTTCAAGTAACAATCGTTGCATATATTTTTTTCTTTTTCTTTTTTCCTGAAATTTGACGGGTTGTTCATGTTCTAATCCTTTTATTCCTTTTCCAGGTGTGTTCTATGTGTAATCGTCCTGGTGGCTCATGTATAAAGTGCAGGGTTTTAAACTGTTCTGTTCGGTTTCATCCCTGGTGTGCTCATCAGAAGGTCTCTGCTCTTGTTATGTTGAGGAAAGGGATCAGTATTGTTTTTTGTTCCTACCGCATTTATGACCTTTGCAGGGCTTCTCTCACGTCTACCATAAACTTTGTTCTTTGTCTGCAGGGTCTGTTACAAAGTGAGGTTGAAGGTATTGATAACGAGAATATTGGCTTTTACGGAAGATGTGCACGTCATGCTACACATCCAATGTGTGAATCTGATTCTGACCCAGCTGACACTGACAGGGTAGCTGGTGGTTCAGCAGTAGAGGAATTAACGTGTGCAAGGACTGAGGTATATTACACGTTGTTTGAGACTACATCCTTCCTTTACCTGCATGTGTTAAAAGGTCGAGTATGGATTCACTGGGTTACCTGAGGTTGAAATGGATTTGTCTGTTCTTTGTTCTTTTGGATTTCTGCAGGGTTACAAGGGCCGTAAACGTGATGGCGTTAGGCATAATTATTGTCAATCAAAGGGCAAAGTTGGATGCTATGTTCCTCAGGAGCAGTTAAATGCTTGGATTCACATTAATGGGCAGAAGTCATGCATACAGGGGGTTCATAGACTACCCACATCAGACATTGAACATGATTGTCGGGTATGTTAAAACGCTTTTTTATACATTGCCTCAAATAGACATGTATGCAGAACGTGCTTCTTGTAGAAACTTGGGGTGTCTTTTATTATCGGCATGTACATTTGCTTACAATTGAATAAGATTCCTGCACATAAACGCAGAACTCTGCCTTCTGGTTTTGTTCTTTATTTTGTGAAAGTTTAGGAGAAAGTTTGAGTGTTCATATAAGCTTGCAAATTCCATTTAAAAAGTTCTTTTTTGTTCATTCATTATTTTAGCAGAATACTGTATTAATTAGATTAAATCCATGCTATAGCTGTTTTACCATGTTGCTTTTGCTATCGCAGAAGGAATATGCTCGTTACAAACAAGGAAAGGGTTGGAAACATCTGGTGGTTTATAAGTCTGGAATACATGCCCTTGGCCTTTACACATCTCGGTTCATATCCCGCAGTGAAATGGTTAGATATTCTCAAGTCTATGACATGGAAATTACTGTTAATATAATTGAGTATGTGGTGCTGTTTTTTTTTTAATTTTAACTGCAAGTACGATGTATTTTTATGCCTTTGTAGGTTGTTGAGTATGTTGGTGAGATTGTGGGGCAACGTGTTGCTGATAAGAGGGAAAATGAGTATCAGTCCGGAAGAAAACTTCAGTATAAAAGTGCTTGCTACTTTTTCCGGATCGATAAAGAGCATATTATTGATGCTACACGCAAAGGAGGAATTGCTCGCTTTGTTAACCATTCATGTCTGGTAATGTTGCTATTCTAGATTGAGTTCAATTCTTGTTTAGAAAGTATTATCCTTGGCTAATGTTATATATCCCCACTGGTGATCATCTGCACCTTTTTAACCTATCACAAATTCGCGTGTTAACTCTAAAACTCACTGATTATGATACAGGGTCAAGGTCCTAGACAGTCTTATATGTCAATCTTTAATTGGTTAAAAAACCAATTGGTTTAAACAAAGTGGTCAATTATTTTTTCTATTTTTATTTTTTAACCACATCAAATCAAATGAATAAATAACTTTTTTTGTCTTTTTGGTTAAAGCACCTCTGACTTCGCAAGATACATGGCGAAGTGTTCTATGTTTGCACCCATTATATGCTTCAACTCATTTTTCTTGTTTATCGTGTCCTTTTTTGATCTGCATGCTTTAGCCCAATTGCGTCGCCAAAGTGATATCCATAAGGAATGAAAAAAAGGTAAGTTTGAACTCGTCATCTTTCTTTCTTTTTTATTTTATTTTATTTTTATTAAGATTAACACCCTCTCTTTTACCCTTCTGTGCCTGTTTAACTGTCAAGTAAATCTTTTTCTATTCCTTGCTGGGTTCATAGGTTGTCTTTTTTGCGGAGAGAGACATTTTTCCTGGAGAAGAGATTACGTACGACTACCATTTTAACCATGAGGATGAAGGTAAGAAGATACCATGTTTTTGCAATTCAAAGAATTGCAGACGCTACTTGAACTAAGAATACAACATTTGTTTCTCGTGTAAATGGTATTGGAGAAGATGCGGGTCACGTGATTGTGGGTATCTCATCATCAAGTGTACCCTATTTTTTACACTCAAAAGTGAATAGAAAGGAAGCTAGTCACCATGGTAATACTAATGTGTATATAAATTTGCAGGTTTTTTTTTTTTTTTGGGTGAGAAATATGATATTGACAAGCTTTCGTGCTAATATTTAAATAAAAGCTATTTAAAGTGAGAACCTCTAATTTCCCCAATTACTGATTCAAGATAAAAAATAAAAAATAAAAAAAAAATCACCAAACGAGTTGAAATTAGTGCATGAGAAATGATAGCATTTGTTTTTCTTAGCGAAAAATGTGTTTGGATAAGCTGCCTCTTTACATACGTCTTTAATCCATTTAAGCCTCCTTTAATATTATCGAAGTCCTGAAACTATTGAAGAACTTCGGTCTGCTATTCGATCGAGGGGATCGAAATGGGTAATTTCATATAGACATTCTCTATGAACTAATACAAGATGACATGTTGACAGAATCATCGACCAAAATGCAATCTAAGCTACAAACATCAAAGGAACTCGGATGCGGGATACTAGAGTCCGTTCAAGATTCAACAACATTATCCGAGTATTACTTTTAGCCAAAAAAAAAAAAAGTATTACGAACCAAGAAAATCCTTCCATTTTATATAATTATAGATTATAGATTATAGATTGTCAAAATAAAACCGGAGGGATACATTTGTGTATACTTATGTGCATAAACCGAAACAAAGAAGGCTCTTTGTCCAACACAGTGGAATGCATATTTACGAAAAAGTCGAGAAGCCGCTCATACAATATAGTTAGTCTCTACAGCGGCTTCAGCCCACTCGTCTATGATCCCCAATTTGGAATGTTTGCCGTGGCCTCATTGACCATTTTCACAAGAGTTACCTGCCAACACACAAGATAGTTAAATTTATAGGTTTCTACTTGCCCCAGCTCAACTTTTGAAATTTCTTTACACAAATTGTTTGTTTTTTTTTTGTTTTTTGTTGGAAAATTTCAGATGTGCCCCCCACATTACGAGAAAAATTCTATTCTCGCCCCACTCAGTAATTGAAATTCATAACTATGTCCTTAGCTAATAAAGAATCCATCGCTTAATTTTTTCAGTACTGCGCCTGGCAAAATATTCCGGCTCCGCCACAAGTAAGGGTTTTTTCTGTTCCCATAGCCTAGACAAATTGACTCAACCAACAACACCCTTACGCCAATTCTCTCACCCTCCATAGTTGTTAGCGCGTCATTGAGAGTCTGAGACCTAGTCCAGAAAGGGCTGTCCTAAAAATAGTAATTACAAACTGTTAACTTTTAGACTCTGCATATCTACCAGTATTCTTCTCTCCATCCCTATAGCTGGCAAGCATGTTCTCACGTCCCAGTCTAGGACCACAGATATTTTATACTTAATAAGCAGCCAAACTTAAACCTACTAAAAACCTAGCCATCCTCCAAGTCGACATTATATTGACATTTTGTCTATTGATAGTTCAATGGGGAATCTTTTGACTAGACGATACTAACATAGATCCAAAGAAGAAGAAAGAACAAGGCAATAAATAATGAGACAACGGAAAAAAGAGTCGGCCTTGACTAGTTCCTCTGGATCAGCTAATCGGATCCACATAGATGGCCAATATATCATATAAAATAAATCTGACAAAAATCCTGGCTAAAATAATAATAATAATAAAACCAGATTGCCAACTAACAGGAAAAGGGTGGACCAAACGACAGTACTGAAATTTATGTAAAAAATCAATAGTATATTATTATCTTATTAATAAAGATTCTCCCTCAGACCCTCTTTATCTCTCTCTAAGATGTGAACTTATGATCATGACCTACTCATTTATCCTCATTCCCCTCCTTTTACTTTCATCCAAAAACTCAATGAGCTGATGAGCACTTGTACCAACTCTTATGCAAGTCACCCCAGTTCTCGCCCGTATCTAAAATGTTCAGGGAAGAAAAGTTTCTGAACAGAAAAACTTAACACTATTCATAGAGGCAAGTGGTCGAAGTGATATTTTCGTTAAAGATATTACACCTATATTTTATGGTACGCGATGACATGATAGGACTACAAGGTAGAATGAAACATACCACACTTTCTGCAACACCAGGTGGAGGTAGAGGAAGGTTTCTTGGCATAGGAACCTGGGTAAAAGACCTTTTGTCGAACCTCCATTCTCCAATCTTTCCATAGGTTAATTCACCCTAAATATCGGAGCAATGAACAAAGACAATAAATTAACAGTTCTTTTCCGGCTAAATCGAATGCAGACAGCAAGATGCGATGCCTGATGAGTACTACCGCTTCCATGTTGAAAAATAAATCAATAACAAAGTACCTTCAAATTGTAGTCACATCCATAAGTATAATGAATTATGAACTTGTTCCCAACTTCTTTATCCCATGGAGGCTGACATGCACCGCAAAAAAGCAAGAAGTATTATTTTAAGACAAGTAAAATAAAATACAATTAAGAAGGCTGAAAATCATGGGAAAAAAAGCATATTTAAAGGGATTTCCAGTAATAATTGGAAGAAAAAGTATGTTGGAACTAGGAAAATGACAAATCAACAATAGTTTTACTTTCCGGAAAAGTTCAAGATAGCGTGAAAGTAATGCATGTATGGCATTGGCGGGAACGGATGAACTTATTGTTTCCAATCTCTAAATGACTAGGAAAATCTCTTAAGAACATGAACAGTAATATGCGATATTATTACGAGGCGCACATAAACAAATTGACGTTTTAGATATACACATGATAAAAGTTTAATCTTTGAGAAATGTTAAGAACTTCATGGAAACACCTTAGTGTTGCGTGTAGATTGTATAATCGACAAAGTGTGTGATAGTTTCAATAGATAAAATATAAAACGTGATAAATATTTCATTAAGTTGAAATCATGGTATACTCATATTGTAAACGAAGAAAGAAATGATAATCCAACCAACCTGAATCATGAAATCCTTGTATAAGATGTTACCAACGCCGTGTAGAGCAGACGAAACAGCATAAGCATACCTATTTCAGGATACAAAACTAAGTAAGACGTAAAGAACCAAATGTAAGGCCATTAAAGAAGAGGAGTTCATTATAGGGCACACATTTCAAGAACCCAACCAAAAGCTTTGTCTGTTTCGGGATCCTTCTTCATTGCCAAGGAAACATTCATCCAAGTTGGAGCAATCTTCTTGAGAGATTCCTGTAAATATTTAATTGAATATTAGCACACAACTAAAAAGAGGATTAAATTCATAAACTGCCACTGCATGTTTAGCATTGTAACAATATGCCCCCCGAGTTTGCTTTGAAATTGCACCAAATTTTCTGCCTCCGCTAACCTTCTGAAAAGATAAAATTGCATACCTTTCCAACAATGACAGGAGAATTCCCAATTGGGTCGATTCTGGTTATTCGTCCTTTGTCCTCGGGGAAGTACTTCCTGAGGACTTTCTCATATTTTTTCGGTTCAATATAAAAAAAGGGAAATGCAGCTCCAAGCCCATCTGTAGATAAGTTGGGTATAGGCTTAACAATAATATGATCTGGCTCCGCCATCAGTATGTAACTGGATACACACAAGAATAACACATACAACGTCAAGCCAAGCAAAAGTAAAGACAACGGACAACCAACTCATCAAAAATTGGAACTAAGAAACAAATGGTATCTCTTACTCTTCCTTAATGTCAGCTTTCTGAAGCCATTGGACAAATGCCCATGGCCTGTTGAGAACTATATAACCCTGTGTGGAGAAGAAATGAGGTTAGCAACTGTTAGAAAGTAATTTCTTATAGCACATACAACAACAGTCAAAAAGACAGTAACAACTAATTTGATCCACTAATGTGATAATCACACCCAACGTGAGAGCCATATACACTTTCAGTCACCGCAAAATTTCATTATAACGGAAAAGAAAGAAGATTACAAGAGAATCGCAATCCTCGCGCTTCTCACACAACAGTTAATACACTGATCAGCAAGTCATTGGCAACTCTAAATTCTTATCATGTAGCTCGAATGAAAGGAGAAACAAAAAAGAAGTCTATATCAACAACGACAAGAATTATAAAAACAATACATCAAAACAAAAAGGCATGAAACTAAGAGCTAAACAAGAGCACGAAGTCAACGCCGATTCAAACGACGGCACTAAAACCACCAAGTCCGAAAACAATGCAATCCTCAGCTTCTTTTTCACTCACTCGAAGAATAAAAACCCAAACTTTCCATTCACCGCCCCCCCCCCCAAAAAAAAAAAAAAAAAAAAAAAAACTTCCCCATTAGAAATTCGAAGACTTTTTTTTTGGGTGAAAATAAAAGGGTATAGATGAGAAAGATGAACCTGATCCATTCCAGCGGGCAAAGGCTGAGCGACGAAGGTGGGGATCTCGTCCGTGAAGTTGTCGGGATTGCCGGAGTGGAGGATTCTGGTGAAGCCGCCCATCTCGGAATTGGGAGAGTCCTTGAACTTCTTGAACCAGTAGTACATGATCCGGCACTGCCACGTGTTGTAGACGGAGTCCGATGCCGTCACCGCCGTGTGGAAGAGCCGCTTCTGCTTGGAGCTCGCCTTGGAGCGCTCTAACGGCATCTTAATAATGGGGTCCACCGAGATCGACGAATGCCGTGACGGCCCCGGGAAGTCCTGCTTCAGAGGGGCATTCGCCGATATTATTATGTTGTATGTGATCAGAGCTACCGAGAACGTTACCAGTGCGCTGAAGAACAAATTCCCACAACCCATTTTCTCTTCTTTCTTTCCCTTTTTTTTTTTTTTGGGTTTTTTCTTTTCTTTTTGGTTTTTCCCCCTCTCTTTAAGTATCAACGCCTATCTCTCTCTCTCTCTGTTTCTGTACATATATTATCCATGATTCCATGAAGTTGTGTATGTCAACTATACAGAAAGAAAAACGTTTTTTTTTTCTTTTGCTACTCTCTCTGTGGGACTAAAATATAGAGTGGAGGCCCCTAGAGGGAAGGAAGATAATTGGCGGGTTCGGGAAGTCGTCGCCGTCTGGCTGGTGAAGAAATTTGGCTGGCAATTTTCCCTTTAGATTTTGCATTCATGGGCTTGTTTCTCTACTACGTGGGCCTTTTATTTCTTATTGGGCTTCAGAGAAATTGAGCCTTGAACAAGAAGTGAACCAAAACAGAAGATTAGTGTTGGACTTGGATCCGAAGGAAAGCAGCGTAAATTACGCTGCTCTACTGTGTAGTCAACACGCTTAAGGCGCTCCTTCCCTAGTGCATCCTCCCTACATGTTCTCTGATGGGAACAGGGAATAAACCTAACGATCATCTCCAAATAATAATAATAATAATAATAACAAAAACAAAAACAATAATCTCTGGAGCAAATATGTTATCACATACAGGGTATACTTTAAAAAAAAAAAAATCATCAAGTAAACTAAATTTCCTCTTATTCTCTTTTAAACAAAAGGAAAAAAAAAAACAAATTTTCTTCGTATTATGAGAATACCTATGATAAAAGCAAACTTTAATCCCGTCATTCAACGCAAAATGTCAAGAGAGCATCAACGGAGGACAGTGGAATCCTCAAGCACGAAAATATAATAAGAAATGTGTCGAATATAATTATTATTATTTTTCTTTTTTTTAAAGAAAGTGTGGAATTAATTCTACCAAGCTAGACTGAAAAGTAAAAAGAAAAGACATTTATTACGTATATTACATAATATTACAAAATTAATGGAAAATATATATGACAGTCATACAGGTAGAACTTGCAAAAACAAGTCAAACTCTTCAACTCATTGCGTTAATATAAAACCTGCAACCATGAGCTGTTGCGCCTTCCTTCCGTCATTGCAGATTGTTGAAACACAAAGATGCTTCTCTTGCTTCCCTCTCTTTCATTGTCCGTCTGAAAAAATCCCAAATAAAAAATAAAGTAAACCAACCAGATATCCTTTTATAACATCTTTCTAGTCGGACAATATGCCATTTGATCTATAGAAGAATATACAAAGAAAAATACGAACTTCAGAGATATAGCTAGCTACCTTAAGAAGAAACAAAGAGCCTATGTTTTACTTTGTTATAAATTACAGTCTTGAGTTATCTCTCAACAGCCTCTCGAACGTGAGGAAACCGAGAAGCCCATCGATTATATCCTAAAACACGTCGACAACAGGGGAAAAAAAAAATCAACGATCTTACCAAGAATAGATTTTATGTCATCTGAAATAATCAACGCTCGTAACTATACTCATATCAGGCAAACCTGCTGTAACAATCTCTAGAAGATCCATATTTGCTTCGGCATCACTAGACATACCCTGCAATAAATGTGAAAGGAAGGATGAAAGTTTCTAGCATTTCAACACTAGTTAAAATAATCAAAACAAAACTACAGTTTGATGAAATTAGTCATAAACATATGCACCAGAAGGCATGTAAGAGATAAAACATAATAATCCAAACGAAGTATAATCCTCAACATTTTGGAACACATCAATAATCCAAAAATTAAATTTTTGGCTAAATGTTGGTCCTGTGCCTCAGTTTCCCTTCCTAGAGACAACAAATAAAAATGATGTGAAACCAAACGTAACAATACCTGTCCCCAAGAAGCCATACTTCTAGCAATGAGCCGACAGAGGCTGTTAAGAGTGCTTTCATCGAAGTTTGAATGACCGACAAGAGCATCCTCCGATGTAAAATCAAATAGCAGTGAGCAAATGCTTGATGCCATCATTGTAACTGATGGATCATTGATGTTCTCTGCATAACACGTACATGAATTTCAATGAAGACGCACGACTAGCAACATCATCTTTTGTATTTTAATTTTGAAAGCAAGAAAAAAAGAGAAGACAGTCAAGATGATGGCATCATAAACGACGTCACATCAGATGAGGAAAATGATACTTCTACACTAGGAAGTGTAATTGGCTTCCAAGGAAGGCAATCAGTACGTGGTACCTGTCCAATATGCCAATGCCTTCAAGAATTTAGTAACAGTTGATTCATCCAAGGGGAACAGCAGTTGCTCTTTCTGCTTATCAAAACAAAGAAGGTTAAATGCTTCAAAAGGACTGATAAAAGAAGTCACATGGCTGCATATAATTAGAATAAGCTACCTTCAAAAAAAGATTCAGGATTGTGTCACATGCCAAAAAGATGCTGCCATTATCCTCAACCATACAACTGTCTCGCCCAATCAAATTTACAAGGCAATCAATAACCTGCATAGACTCAACAGGAGTGTTAAATTGCTTTCAGAGAAAAAAGATGATTCATATTCTCAATCCATCAACATGACCTGGAATCATAATGAAATTTAACTCACTTTACAGCTTTTAACCAATCAAATTCCATTTGATATGCTTCAGAATAACATAAAGTCAAGTGCAGGATAAAACTTGCAAAGAATAGAGGTAAAAATGGCCATGCCCAAACATTTGATGAATGGACACAAAAAAGATAAGATATTTTTCATACTGACTTACAGCTTTATGCCCTCCACAAGAAACCAAGGCTTTACATCCTTCAGTCTTCATTGTCAATTGACACAGCATTGGAAGCAAAAAGCATACCGAGTAGAAGGGTCTGTCATTAGAATGGTTACAAACCACGGTCATACTTCATGTTTAACATAAACTAATATTGATGTATTTAATGAATAATATATTGAAACAATATATTGAATCATGAGATTCAATACATCCTGTTTAGTAGAAAGACGGATATTCCTTGCTCATTATCAAACAATCACTTATTCACAAACATCCTATGGGGCTAATAGTTTTCATTTCCCATCTCATGGAAAAAAACCCTCTCACAATGGGAGAAAGAATTCAGTCCATTAGAGAATCGTAATAGCAAAGTTACAAACCTGGTTTCCTCTTCACTTTCGATAGAAAGCATAAACCCCAATAATTCTCTGACCTTCTCTTTGCATGCAAGAGGTGTTTCTGCAAGATAGCTGAAACATACACATGTTGACACGAACAAATCAACTGCCAAGTTCTAATAACATACACAGACAGAACATTATGACCTCTTCACTGTAGCATCATTAAATAAAAAAAAATTAAAAAAAGAAAGAAAAGAAGAGCCACCCCCAAAAGCTAATATGGAACTCTTATTGTAATTTGTTCCAACTAACCTTCTGTAATAATAGGAGATTTTATGGTTCTTTTTTCTTTTTTCCTCACTAGAGCAATTTAAAATGAATTTTATGAAACAATTTCTCATGTAAATATGCACTGAAAGACCAGATATAGTCTTTGGTAATGCATGGTCGTACCAAACCTCATATCACAGAAGGATATTGTCAACGAAGGTAAGAACATATGCACACATAGAGGGTCTTCCCAATCATCAACAAAGCTTGAAAAGCTAGTTTAACATAAAGAAGCAAGCATACCTCCCAATAACTCGCACTGAAGCAAGAAGATCATCTCCTTTCCTTTGTCCATGTTCCTGTAAGAATCAAACGTCAAAAAAGAAAAAAGAAAAAAAAAAGAAAAGAACAAAACATAATTTTCAATACATCAAAATCACTGTCATTACCTTCGCATCTCGTAAGTATTCTAGAACTACATCAATTGTCTCATTAAGTCCCTTGATCACCTTTGTAGAAGTACTATCATCAAGAAGGTCCCCTAATAGGGTAAAGAAGATTAACATTATCACAAAAAAAAAAAAAAAAGATATATATATATATATATATAGAGAGAGAGAGAGAGAGAGAGAGAGAGCTTAAGCACACATTAGACCCTTCAGGCGCACCGTTTCAACAAGATCATGCATACTCATTTGTTACTCCTTGACTTATAAAAAAAGAAGATGACACTCACGGGTTCAAATATTTGAGAATTTACAGCATACCTTCATTCTCGCTCAAGTTTGATATAAGTTTAATTATCTTTTCAACTAAGGAGAAGGCAATGGCGACATTTCGTTGCTTGAGATGGATTGTCTCATCAAAGGATGAAGAACTCTTCGATGCTTCATATTTCAAATAGGCAAGCTCATTCAGAAGAACAGCGACTTCAACACGTGATTGCCCTAGAACAAGCAGTAAGCACCTGATAAAATACACAATGCACCAAGTAGATCATCAGGCCTTTCCTCGATACATGCACAAATATAGATAAAAAAATCACAATCACATGCGTGCGTTAACTACCTAGAATTACCTAAACCTGTAGTATAGAACAAACACATGCACCACGACCACATAAAATATGCAGAGAGAAAAGATTCAGTGACTCTGTTAGCTTACCTATCAGCCGAAATAGGTTCTTCCAAATTGGGTAGTTGTATCGGACCTATTAACCACTTCTCTCCTATTATGGATATCATAGCCTTGGCCAGAATTAATGCCTGAAACTTTTCAGCAGGTGCTGCCATTAAATGACAAGAAAATTAAGTTTTTTCCTTCTGCAAGAAATGAAGACCACATATGACAAAAGACCGTTCAAATCAGTATACTGATTCCATCTATTACAAAAAATGGAAAACATACGTGACCTAAATTAGTTCAACATACCAACACGGTTCTGTAGAATAGCAGCAATACCGTTGCGCATAAAATTTGTCCAATTTTTGTTGGGCAGTACACGAAGAGCATCATAAAGTGGTGCCTACATAAAAGTGACTAAAAAATTAGCAAGTAAAAAGCATATCGCTGATATAACACTGGTTCTTCAATTAAGATGTCATAGGAAAAATTAAGTAGATGCCTCAAAGTATAAAAGCATAGAAGTGGCCAAAGACTTAAACATTTTCCTTTTGCCTTTGGAAAAGAAGTGATGCAACCAAGAGCAAATAATAGAAAACGTAGCAAAAATTTGCTAACAAACCTTTCTTAATTTAAGTTAGCATGTTTCATTAGCTAAATGTCTTGTAAATAAAATATGAACAATATTGCATACCAAATAGTTTGAGGAGAATATGGCAGACAATAGGTGCAGTGCTTCAAATTTGACAGCATCGTGCAAGACAGCAAACTGCCTTGCAATTGTGGCCACCTAAATTTAAAGGAAACACTAACTAAATCAGATTATATATATATATATATGTATATTCGACAAAAAGATGCTTATTTTTATGTGCATGGAATTAAATATTTGAGAAGAATAAAAATATTCTCACGATCAAGGAGAGCTCTAGGGGATAGCCGTTACAAACAACGTCCAGAGACAGCTTTGAAAGTAGTACTTGCACAAATTTCATAGCAAGCTCCATCTGATGTGAACCTACACAGCAATCACATCTCGTGAATTCTTTGCAATTGAAATTGGTAAGCACTTGTTGTTTAAAGAGTAAAACCAAAAACAAAAACAGGCAAAGAAAACTTATTTCAAACAAGAGGGGGACACATAATAGATTAATAGCAAAAGAACTCATCACACTAACACAGTTTTATAACAGAATAACATTTTTCCAATAGGTCTAGATATTTCAGTTTCCTACATGGCGTATAATGTCATACAACAAAGAATTGAATAACTACATAAAACAGAGCAGTAATAGTGCAACAGGCCAGCAACTAGAAATTACCATTAGAAAATAAAAGTAATTACCATCTGGAAAGGTAGGCATGTGAGAAGCCAACACTTTAATGCCTCCAGATTCATAAAATGTAAGAACTCCATCTTCAGAAGCAGATGATACCAGATATAGAAATTCATAACATTCTTCAAGTACAGATGACGCAGATCTGCCCAAAAAAAAAATGATTACGGTCAATTTGAGAAAGAAAATGATTACTGGATCAATCAACACTAACTATAAAATTCTTCCAAAAAAAAAAAAAAACAGAGCACGTGTGAGTATGCAATAACAGCATTTTTGGATTAGTAGTATTCTAACATTTTCCTAAGCTTCCCCCAAATTTCAACGGCTATCTAAAAAAGAAGACGAAAAACAAATTATAATAAGCTAGACAATAGTTTTGTTTTTTTTTTTTTTTAAAGTTACGCAATACTTTTTTTCCCTCCTCTGGTTATCACAAACTTTATCAACAAAGTTTCAACCGAAGAAGCTAAGGCCTCATTCAGTTCACATATTCGAGTTTTTAATTCGAGTTAAGATGTGATTTTATGTGAGAGCTTTTCACTGTAGCAGAAAAGTTAGATGTGACTTTTTGTGAGAATTTTTAACTGTATCAAACTCGAATTGATGAAATGAACGAGGCCTTACTCTTTGGACAGAATTTCCAAAACCAATGGAATCTTTGAAACCATATCTTGTGAAGCAGCAATATCGGGGACGCGACAGAATGCAGCAAGAACAGTAACCGACAATTGCAAATATGCATCCCGGTTGCCACCTGCATTGCCAGTAACGGTTCCTTTTCCAGCTCCTGTCAAAAGAGGATGAGAAAAAAAACAAAAGAAAAGAAGAGGAAAAAAAAGGCAAACGAGAATTTAAGGACAATGAGAATTAAAAATAAATATAATAAATTTGAAGAAATGAGGATTTCAAATGTCAAGTTACATGTACAGATGTTCTTTACTCACTCCAACTAGATTTGCCTTGAATAATTTAAGTAAGATACTATTACTCTCGATGATCATAAAAAAGATACTTAATGATTCCAAATCTTGATTTCAACTTCAATAGTTAAAATCCATACAAAATTTCGGACATTTACAAACCCTAAACGCAAGCCAAAAAAAGGCCAAATAAAGCTGAAATCGAGAAGCAAATACAAATACGATTCCATTACTAACTCCAAATTCACATTGTCACTTTGCACGTTTCAGACGAAAAGCAGAAGAAAGGTCGTGAAAATTTACCAGTCCAAAGAAGGCGATCAAGAAAGCGAACACCGACGCAGTCGTAGATCCTGCGGAGGGAGGGGAGATCGTCGCCCTTGCAAAATTTTGTGACCAAAAGAAGACCGGCGAGGCGCTGTTCGTCTCTCTCACCTTTCAACAGCTTCAAGCAATCATCAAGCGCAGGAGACGACTGTTCTTGTTGCGACTCCTGAAACGCAGAGGCACCAAGAAGTTTCGAGAGGGAAAAGAGCAGAGATTGAGGAAGGCGAAGAAAACTGCATAAAAAAGAATGGAAAAGGAGAGAGAGGGGAGAGAGAGAGAGAGATTCTCACCATGGGAGGAGAGAAATCGGGTGCTACCGAGTTGAAAGGAAATCGAGTTTCTGAGGAGTTCTTGGGACCGTAGCGGGGAGATTTTTGGAGGGTTTTTTGAACGTTGGAGAGGACTATGGACAATATATAAGATGCTTCCGGATGCCTCCGTTTCTTCTTTTCTTTTCTTTTTTTCCCCTGAAAATTCGAGAGTTCGCCCGGAAAATTAGAGAATTTTTGGCCCAATAAATATTCCGCATTATTCTAAAAAAACATATTGAGATTTATACACTTGATATATTAGTAGATCATTTTTTTAATTATTAGATGTGCATAATTTTAACGAGAGAAAGTCTATGTATTATAAACTACTAAAAAAGATTTCCATATCTTTCTTTAAATTAAAAAAAAGTCCCTATCACACATATTATGGCATAAAAAGGACAAAATTGAACATAAAAATAAACATAAGAACAAAACGACAGATAAGTCGAAGTACAACAATAATATAAAAAGCAGAATAGATACTAAAACGACAACAAATAAAAGAAAACGACAATATCTAAGAAAAAACGGCAATAATTTTCAAACGGACAATATATTATAATTATAATTATAATACTAAAAGGCAAAAAACGATATGATATGGAAACGACAATCAGCTGTACATGAGAAGAAAAAAAAAATCAATAACGACGCCAACTGAATATGAAAAGTAATGTACAAAATGGCATAAATAGCAAAACGATCAGAAATGTAAACAAAGTCCGGTAAAACAACGATTGAAAATTTGAGCCAAAAAAAAAAAAAATTAAAACGACATTAAGTTATAACGACGCTAAATGTTTATTGCACAACGTCTAATATTCTATAAACGACACCAAGTGAAAATGACGCTAAATATTTAATGAACAACGTCTGAAATTCAATAAACGACAATAAACATTAAACCCCGTTTAGAAAAAATATTATTGATACCCAAAATTTTACAAGGTATCGGCCCGGCCCACATCCAATGAATACGACTCCATGTATGGTACGTGGACCCACGCCACGTTCGGGGACTTCTATGTGGGCCGTGGTTTGGCAGGCCAAGGAATGTGACCGGGCCTATTTTATCCGGCCCAATTAGAGCCTTGGCCCACTTGGGGTGGTCTTGGGTTTATGAGGGAATTATGATAACGTGGGTTATGGAGGAAATTAGACAGAGTAAAACAAATTACCTAAGCTTGCAGTAGAAAAGCCTATTGGTCCATTACCTTGCACTAAGAGACAAAGTGGCATTTTTTCACGTCTTTCCTTTCTTTCCCGGGAGGCAAATGCAGTCTCTTCCCCAAAGAATAATAAGGAGCCAGGATATACATAAATAAGAGAGGGCAAGCTCTTGATCGTGTGGCTGCCACCCTCTGACCTCACCCAAAATGGCCACAGAACCCCATTTGGCTGCCCAATGACCTGCTTATTCATCTATGGGGTAAACCTTCCTCTGGGATCAACGAAAGTTGCCCCTGAATCCCACTGGAAATGTCTTACTGACGGGGACCTTTGGGGGGGATTTCAACCAAAGTTCAAAACGGCTGGCGGGAAAACTTCCCTCCCCTTTACCACGATCCTGGTCTATAAATACTGTTGTCCGAACCTCTCAAAGGGGGATGATGAGACAGGGGAAAGGAGGAAGAAGGGCATATCAAAGTACTCTATTCTAATCCCTCTGGATTTCTGGTTTTTATCAGAGCGACCGACGGAGAATCATATTCTCCATAACTTCTGACAGCGTCCCACTAGAACAAGTTTCTAGGCGTTCTCCCCATTGGAAGTGGTAATAAAATCTCCCGAAACATCGAAAGCCATTAACCATAGCCCAACACCTTGAGATTGACTGTTTTGCTACCTTCACACACTACGTCCGTCGGAATCATTTTGTTCACAAATAGAGAAATATAACCCCGTTACCCACTTAGAAACCTCCTCCATAAACCGGTCACATCTCTCTCCCACACTATATGCTCACAGGGAGATCCCCATCAGAGATTCTTCACCGTCACTGAGCCAAAGCCGCAACGAGTGTCACCCTCGAATACCGTCATCCTCGGGGTCATCTAGGTTTTGCCTACCCCAGCCGGGGCCAATCTCATCCCCTCGGCCACCGTCGACACCAAGAAGTGCCCTCGGCAGCTCTCCGACCACATCAGTCAACGTGAGTACAGTCCTCATGAACCAAAAGGGGCCACGCGTCCCCTACCTTCCACGTTGACAGGCCCCCACCAAAAGAGCCCCAACAAATATCAAATCAAATTTTTTTTCCTCTGTAAACATTAAAAAAATATGTGAAATACGTGCATCCTTATATATTATACACATTAACTGTTTAAGGCAATATGAAATCTATTAATCAGGTCACTCGAAAAATGGAAAATTACCCCATATCTTCTATTTAAGTTAGAAAAAAAAAAAGTTGATTATACACCTAAAAAACTAAGTGGACGTTTAGTTCATGGATTCAGAATCATGATTCAAAATTATTCTCGATTTACGTGTATTTTTTGTGAGAGAAAATACTGTAGCGAACTATGAACTATGATTCAAATCATAGTTCGAATCCCCTTACCAAACAGATCATTAATATCATTCCATTGAGAGGACTTATGACATTTAAGACTTATGACGTGTAAATGTCAGGGAAAAAAAACAAAAATAAACAATGTATTGTATATTTTAGTACTCAAGATGATAACGCGTGTCTTGTTTCAAGTGAAGAAGGGGATACTTATAAAAGAATATGGAGGCATTTGACAGTTTGCTTCGTACAGTGCTCTGATGAAGACCTGAACACTCAATATTGTTTGGAGTAAGGTTGTTAGCTACCTTTCTAATTTTGAGAAAAAGATGGTTTGAAAATAGAATTGAATATTATTAAGTTCTGTCATGGAGGAAAACTGACAGCGTTTTGTCGGAGCATTTCCATTTGAAGTAAGTGTGTCAGCTTACTTTTTGAAATTGATAAAAAGACTCATAAAAAATGAGATGAAAGGCTTATGGGGTTTTGTTCTGGAGGAAAATCAACGGCACTTTGATGGAGCATTGCACACACAATTCCATTTGGAGCAAAATCTGAACTACCTTTTGTAACACCCCGAAGAATAAAATGAGATTAATTAAGGTAATTAAGATTTATTAGTGTGTCTAATCTGGTTTAATAAATTAATTATTGATTCATAAATGTTTCTGACGTATAAATTTAAACAATTCTAAGGTATTTAAACATTTTCAGTAAAAATATTTTACTCCAGAGGTGTGTGTGGGCACATCTCTGGACTGTCATTTTAAATATTGTGACACATGTCCTTTCCTTTTCTTTTTCTTTTCCTTTTTCTTTTTCCTTTTCCCTTTTTCCTTTCTGAGCACTCTTTCTTTCTCTATCTCTCTCGTTCGTTGCTCTCCCTCTCTCTCTCCCGTTTTTGTCTCAAACCAACTGAATCTTGAACCAAAGAGAGATTTCAAAGAGTTTCCAACATCAAGAGAAGGATTTGAGGTAAGATTTCTGGAAACCTCTCTTGAATCTCAAGATTTTCAGATTTAAAAACTTATTTTTTGGTTCGAAATGGATTTTGATGGATTTTGAGTAAAACCATGGTAGAAATTGGAGATCTTGGGTTCTTTGGACTTGATTTAGTACTTAGAACCTGGATCTAGTGGTTTTCCCTTGAGATATTTTGAATTGGAACTGAAGTTGCAGGTTTTCAGACTGATTTTGGTGAGTTTTCCTCGCCCTGCTGATCCCACCGGTCGACCAGATTGCACTACATCAGGTCGACCTGTGCGGTCAACCGAAGTGCACACCACCGGTCAACCAGTGGTGTTGCACTGCTCTGTTACCTGTCAACCGGTGTACACTGGATTTGACCCTGTTTTGACCTCAGTTTTTTAGGAGAACCCAAATTAGCTTTATTTGAGGACCTAGAATGAATGGATTAGCTTCTTTAATTCGTGTTCTGAGATTGAAAACCCTTGGAATGATGATTTGAAACATGAAATGGTTTATGAAACTGGTAATTGATTAAGGCGCACTAATAGGAAATCAAAGGATATAATTGAGATTGAGTTGCTTTAGGAATGAGAATTGGAACCTAAAGTGTTGTTTTGTATCAGTTCTAGCTGAGGACTCGGATTGAGGGGCTTGAGGAAATGAAAGCCAGAATAGAGTAACGCTAGCCAGGTTTGGTACTTGTGAGGTAGGATTTCTTACCCATTTCTTTGGCAGCCTGATTTTAAAAGAGTTTTGGCCTTGCAAATGTTTTAAAGAAAGGGCATGTTTGCAAAAGAAAAGCATGTTTAAAACCATAGCTTGATTTTAGCTATTGGAATTATAATGAACGGTTTCATAAAGTTTAATGAATGATTTCTTAAGACAAGAGATCTTGCGAATCGGTAAACCGACTGATGGCCTAAATGGGATGTGGAGAGTACATCCTTGGGGACAGAACCCGAAACCCGGCCCGGGGGTGATAGGCTTGTGCATGTGGTTGTATAAGTAATTTATCATAGTATAAATTACTTGTTGATGCCTGTAATACGGAGATTTTTAATTATATTTCCTTTGAGAAAAATGATGTGAGGTTCCAGCTGTTGTGTTGGAACTGAATGTCTATATTTATTTCATTGTTTATTCATTATTTATTTACTCATTTATTTATTTATTCATTTATAAAGCTATTTCAAAATATATCCTACTGGGCCTTTCGCTCACGTTTTATTATTTTATAAATGTTAAACCCCTCCCAGGCGATTCTAGAAGCAGGACGGAGTAGTTGAGTTGCTACCACCTGATTTGGAGAGGATTGTGATCATCCTCCCTGTGTACAAATGTAAGAATTTGTAAACTCTGTACACTCTGATATTCGGATTTCTAGACTGCGGTTGATATCTGTAATGTTATTTGCATGTTCATGTATGTACAATACTGCATATCCTGTAGGTGAAGCCCTAAGTGATGTTAGAAGTTTGAGTTCTAACCTCATCCTTGGAATGTACCTTTCAATTAATCAGGATGCTTGTTTAGGAATTTTCTAATTATTTTATTCTTAATCACGCTTAACCTCTAAACGAGCCTCCACGTCACCGACCCCTGTCCCGGGGCGTGACAGAGTGGTATCAGAGCCACCACAGGATTATACATGCATGTGTGACATCATGAATCCACTAAACAGTCTAGTTTCTTTTTAGCTAAAGAAGATGTCACCG